TAAGGCAAGTGAGAAACCAGCGTGAAAGCTGGTAGCAAGCAGAACTCTGCTAATGAAGGTGATGTTTTCCTCCAAAATGTTGACTGACCCTCAATAGACTACATGGCATTATATCCCAAAAGATAGAACCCTTCAAGTGCTCTTTTCCTTTTCTGAGCATTTTATTGTGAGAAAATGTTAAGTCAGTGGGATGATCACCAACAACTGCAGGTAATTCACAAGTACCATTCTTTTTGATGTCAGTCGCACAGTATGTTGTACTGTCACCCTCAGGATAAAATAAATTGCAGTAATTGTATTTAGAATTGAGGGAATAATGGAGTTCTACGAATATGTTTTTTTATTTAAACTTCCTTTCATTTTATTCTGGATGTTCCCTATTCAACAGATTTTAACTGGGTGTATCCACCCTCACCTTTCCTTTGTTACCTTTGAGTACTGGCACTTTTCTTTCTGTAGAAATAAAGCACTGCTTAGGATAATCCCTTGAATGCCGAAAATGCAAGTGTCTGTAACTACATTCTTTTCAGTCCAATTCATTGGTTTTACAGCACAAATTGGCTCTTCAGTCATGAACTCTGGTAGTTATTTTGCAGATGTTGAGTAGGTTATAGTTGATATATCAGCTGAATGTTTAGTTATTTAACAATGCTTCTTCAGTGGCATGGATTATGTAGAGTAAAATGATGGTGTAATTATGTAAATTAGATGTAAGAGAGTGGACCGCCAGAGAAATCCTGACATTCATAATAGGTTAAAAGTGAACAACCTAATACAAGATATAAAATTATATCAGAATAACTGGTTAGGCCACCTGGAAGGAATGTATGGAAGCCACGCAAACTACCTTTTCAGGATCAAACCTGGGGATGACAGGATGCTGGAAGACTCAGGGAAAAGTGGAAAGATCATGAACACCTTGAGCTTTAAACGGTCAAGTCTTAAGACCTAACACTTGTGTATGTTCATAAAAAAGAATGTGGAAGAAAATTGTGTTGTGTTTTAAGGCACAATTGTATGATTATAATAGTGTGACTGAAGAAAACCGTGAAAGACTCATTCAGGGTTAAAGGTCTCTTGGGTGAAGATTTATAACCCATGATCTTCCAAATGAAACAGAATTGCTAACTGCATGACCATGATGTTTGGTATATAGTTGCAAGATTACTTTAGCTAAACAGGTGGAGGAGTGGTAACAGTGTTCTAGTCAGGTCAGAAATGTGTAGATTTTAGGATCACATGTTGATGATGACAGGGAAAGTGGATAGATATTTGCGAGGAGATAGAAGGAGAAGTACAAAAATTTCAAATTTAAGGAAAATACCTCTTGAATAGGAGGAAAGTTCTCTACCACTGAGCTAAGTGGCACACTAAGAACATTATTTAACATGTTGGCTGACTATATTTCCAAGACACAGTCAACTGCACTGTCAGAATGGACGTACCATGTGTCCAAGATATCTGTATGTTCATTCTTAGCTCTGCTAATATGTTATTTATTATTCAGAATCATTCTTCCATATGATGCTATATAGTATGTACAATTTAAAAAGCCGCACTGAATAACAAAAGTTCAAATAAATTTGTCATTATAGCTAGTCCTTGGTATTGAGGTTTGCTGACAAAAAATTTGTATATCATGCTATATATGCTTCATGTCCCATATAATCCCATTTGATTTTATTATTCTATCAATATTAGGTAAAGAACACAGCTCATTATTTAATTTTATACATCATCCTGTTACTTAGTTTCTTTGATCCAGATACTCACCTCAATTCTCTTCCCAAGTCTGCTCAATTTATGTTATTTTTTAGGCCGAGAGATAAATTGATATATCCATAGGAAACTACAGTATAGTTTTATATATAAATAATGAGTTGACAGTTTATTGTGATATGTAGTTCTGAGCTGTGATTTTTGCAGTTCTAAAAGTCAGATTTTTGTGTCTCACTGAAAGGAATGTGCAGCAGAAGAATCTTCCTTGTTTAGATTTCATCTTGTTAACAGACTTCCTTCCTCACTTTTTATTGAACTACAATGCTTTCTAACTAGGACATTCACCGATGGCTATAGAGCATAACATCAAGGTACATTGTCAAGCCAGAGAAAGGCATAAAAAAGAAAGGAAAAGTTAATCTGTTACCAGTCTTTTTTTTCTGAGAAAGTGTATCTCCATTGTCTCCAATTGCTCTTGTACTCTCCAGTGACATATAGATCATAATTCTCTATTGTAAGAGGGACTTTCAAGCATCCTAGATGACATGATGTTATGGCAGAAGTGGAGTGAGTACCTTTAATATTGAACTGACATAAAGCCTGTAACAATGGAATATTGTAAAAACAAACTTTGATAAGAATACCTAATCTCAGTATTTTGAAAAGTTTTGGAAAGACATTTCTATTTATACCAAGATACAACCTGACAGAATAACTGTGTGCTGAGTGATACTATTCTTCCATTCACTTTCTTTCATTATATCTCTTTCGTCTTTTCTTTCCATTTCCTTTATTATAATGAAATGTTTTCTTTTTATCTTTAGTCTTATTTTATTTTTATCATTCTTCTTTTCCTCCATCTCCTTTTTATCAGTACTTTTATACCTACATTTATATCATAACCATGCAGAAAAATGTGCATTGTAATTTGAGGAACAATTTGTCTTGTTCATGATGGTTACTTATATTTGAAAATTGCTGTACTTGAGCCAGCCAAAGAATTCTCATGAGTGGGGATAAGAGCTGCTAAGAGGGGAAGGCCTGTTCCCCTGCCCTTCTATCATAGCCTGCCTGCTGGTGCCTCTTGTGTAATGCCGTAAAACATGTAATTGAGCCATTTATGGGGAAGAGTGGGGATGAGGTAAGGAGAGTGCAGGAAGAGAAGGCAGATGGAGCAGGGGATGAGCCATGAGAATTCTTTGTCCAGCTGTGCTATAGGCGTTTGTACTTGAACACTTAATTTTTGTGACCTTCACAACATATTTCAGTACCATTTTTACTATGAAAATATATGAAGGTTGTGTACTCAATATTCTCATCCCAGTGCATTTCTTATGAAGGACTGGGGTAAGAAATTGTTTGTACTTGAACCCTGCATGTAAGAGCAGCAAAATTAATCTTGAGGTTGCCTTAGAACATTTTCTGTTAATTACCATTTTTTTATATGTTGTGCTGTTTGGGAGAAAGAGGATGGTACAGATGGGTGGACGTTTGGCTGTTATACATATAGATAGTGATAGTGTGGGGAGCCATGATAGCTCTAAAGTCAATTCTTGGCAGAAGCATTGAGAATATTTCTCTTTGCCACAATATCTAGACTGACTCTGGAGACGGCAACACTGCCATCTATCCGGTGGGCATTAGGCATTGAGAGGACCAGAGCATGAATCTATTTCCAAGGTTATTGGAAGCAGCTATTTCCACACTCCCATGTGCATTAATTCTGTAGCACTTAAAATAAGACAACTTTATTTTCTGCTTATAGTTTTAATGCCAGTTTTCATGCAAATTTTGATTGAAGTGACTGCATGGAGGATCATTTTCTGTTCATTCACATATTACAGCTCTTAAATTGCTTAAATTAAATAAATATTAAAAGGGTGGGTCAGGTACATCAGAAGCTGCCTGGTAATTTTGATTTTTGTTTATATTGATAGCATTATTATTTATTTCCTCCATAGCTGTAGAGAATTACAATTGTACATGTCAAATATCAACAACCTTACATCAAAAATAACATAAGTAAAAAATAACATAACATTCACACAGTGATTCATCACTATAATACAGCAATAGATTTCGAAATACATTTTTAACTTAATTTAGGAATAATAAATACTCCAAAAAAGACATAAGAATAAATATTTTAAACATATAGACAGATTAATGTAGCCTCAACTGTATGTGAAACTAAAAAAAAAAAATTGTTCAGTTTTTTAAAACTGATAATTTGCTTAGTTTGCAAAAAAAACATTTTGAATTAAATATGGATCTCATTTAGATCTACAGCTTTTATTTGAAATATTTTTTATATTTTTTTAACAAAATAAAATAGAAAATAATTATGATGTTTATAGTGGGATTATCTTTGCGACAATTGATCTGTAGCAAGTTAAGATCAGCAGTAGTGAGGTACACAGTCACAAAAAATATTTTTCACCCCTTTCTTTACTCCATAACTATATTTCTTTCTAAATCTTGATGACTATTTCAACTCTCCTTCACTAAGTATACTAAACAGTCTCTTTTTATATCTGCATTAGTATAATAAAGAAATACATATTCAGCTTTCTCCATCAGAGTAAGAGTTTGTGAACCCTTCCCCTGACCTTGAAAATGGATAGGGGAAAGCAGGACAAAAGAGAGAGAAAGCTTTCTAGGTCAAGATGTACCAGTGTTGGTGGCAAAGAGAGTACAGTGCCCTAGTCAAGAAAGAGGAGCAGCAGAGAGCAGTGTACTAGGATGGTGGACCAGCACACTGAGTTGTCTATTACCTCAGCTGTCAGTTCATTGACTAACAACACCGAAGTGTCAAACACAAACAAAGATGTAGACAGCAAGTTTGACTGTGAATATGAGGTAAGAAACTGTTTTTTGTTGTTTGTTATAGTGTGTGTGGAAAGAGAGAAAAGAAATGGAATTGTTTGTAAAAATTATCTTAATATGAGAAAGAATGGGGGCACATGGTAGTGTAGTTGGCTGAGGCACTGTGCTATAAGCCGGAAGGTCGCAGGTTCAAGTCCTGACGAGGTGGATTTTCTCAGTTGACCTAATCCTTCCAGTTGTGCTATGACCCTTGGCTTGACTCAGCCTCTAACTGAAATGAGTACCAGGATTCTTCCTGGGGGGTAAAGGGTGGCTGGCATGTAAGACTGACAACCTTACCGCCATCTGTGAGCCGATTGTGTAGAGAAAATGTGGGAGCATCGATGTCTCAAAACCCTATGGGCCTTCATGGCCTGTTGAATGTATAAGGGGTGGGCCTTCTTGGCCCTTGCACCACAACATACAGTGGTCTATTGTGCTTCTCATGGCCTGTTACAGGGATAACTTTTTTTTTATGAGGAAGAATAGAAAGATATTAGTGAAGCCTTCAAATTAAAAATTAATCAGAATCCTCTTTGGTTTTAGTTCTAAGGTACAGGGGATTTTGTGAGCATTGACTATTTTGGTGGTAAAGATATTTCCTTCTTTTGTGGAACCTCAGATGTCATTATTGTTCACAGAAGTCCACCATTGGACCCTATCCTGAGTGCAGTCCTAGAACCATTTTAATATTACCATCCCATGTGCACATAGACCTGACTAATGGCCGCTTTTCTTGAAGTTTTCTTATCAAACATTTTATGTATTTTTCACATGCAGACTACTTTTTTCTGACCATTTCAGTTTTTGTTAAATTGGTATACTGTAGATCTCATAAGATTTACAACTTTTCTTTGAAGTATGCTTGTTATTAAATCCAATAATTATGATTACATAGTGTGGTACTTGAGCTGTGATTAGTTTGCAACAGTAGGTTTGATAATTCGTAATTTATAATTTATTTACATCCATAAACTGTTACATAAGTACAACTGGACAAGTCAGTTTAAGCCATCTAAAACACTACAACTGAACAACTCTTAAACCCCAAACAATACAATATTCTGCAGGAATTATGGTTTAAAATAGGAGTTAGACATAAATACCCATGTTCATATGCTTTCAGGAAAACTGCAATAGATACCCTGCCACCACTGACACACAACAAAAAATGCACAAAGGCCGATACCGATCCACATGGAATGAGAGAGGAGTTTTCTTTCTGACAAGTCTTGGATTCACAACAGGTAAATTGGCTTGTTAAAGGGTTTGCATATTAAGACACATTTTAACATTTTTGGAGGCAGCACAATTCTGTAAACTGTTGCTGAACTTATATCTGACTGCACGATGCCACATTCTAGAAGACAATAATGTTTGAGTTTGCTATGAAAAAAAATTGAGTTTACTTATTTGTTCCATCCTGGAAACTGAAGATGCTAAAGTAATATCTTGTTTAAAGAGACCGTAGAAGGCTTAGCATATCAGCCAGGTTAACTTGTCTGTAGTATGAGCCACTGAAATGTTGCAGGTTTGCAGGGTATCTGTGTGTTCCCTGTGCTGTGTGAAATGAATGGAGGAGCAGCCTTCCTACTCTGCACTGTGATACTGTATCTTGTTTTGGGTATTCCTGTTGTTCTGGTGGAGAGTGGCCTGGGGCAGGTGGGTAGACAGTCACCAGCAGTTCTGTTTCCAAAGTTGTGCCCTCTCTTATCAGGTAAGTAGAGTATTTTATATTAACACTAACATAAAACCTGCTGAAGTTTTTACAGAAAATTGTTAAAAAAGGGACTTTTTCAAAAATACCTAACCTCTCTTTGTCTTCAACTGGAAGCAGAGCATTATGATTGCCATCTTCTAGTTTAACACTAAACAATAAACATAATCTTTCAGTCACAACTTACCAATTAATGCTTTATAAATTTCACTAATAGCAGTTATTTTCACATCACCACACAGGCCATTTCTTCCCATGTAAATTTTATTGTCTTCCCTTGTGCTATATGGGATGGTGCATTGTTCTAATGCAAAATACATTTGTCTGATTAAAGATTGATTTTTTTTTATGAATACAGTTCTGTAAATATTACAGGACTTGAATGAAATGTTTGTTTGACTTTTTCGAAGAAACACGTTTGTAATGGATAATTTGTTTTATATGAAAATATGTGGAATATATCATTTAGAGCTTCGATTTTGACATGTTTTTTCTTTCTCTCTCAAAGACTGGAATTTTCCATTGGAGTCTTTGTTATTTTGTTTCTTGGTTCATGTTGGAAGACCCAAGTGTCATCACCAGTCACCATTTTTAACTGGGTACTTCAAACAATCTTGCAGAAAGTTGCGTGCAGCCTTTCTCATTTTTTCTTGCAACAGGGATCTTGTACTATCACTTTTTCACAGACTTTCATTATGTTCAGTCTTTGATCAAAATCAATCCTACAGTATCTCTGTTAATGTATAGTTTTTCTGCCATCTTCCAAATAGCCAGTTAATAATTTCTCATCATTTACATACTCTTCCGCCCCCCCCCCCCACACACACACATTTTGACCAGCTCTTGAAGTTGTTAGATGGCACTGAAAAGGCTACTTCCTATCTTAGTGTCAGGTCTGTGCATGCTCTATCACAGTTTTTGTTGCATATTTTCCTGTTATCTCTGTTTGACAAAGCCTGGTCTCGGGTATTGATGTAGCTGTAATTATACTGACTGGGCTGTCCAGTGATTGAAGATAGCTCTTTCTAAGGGAACCAACAGAGTAGGTGTCTCTCCCCCTCACTTCCAAAATATTGTGTTCTCTAGTTTTTAGAATACTGGATGATGGACAAAGTCCAGAACCCTGTAATTCTGTGTGTTAAACATCATCATCAGAACCTTTTAGACTCTACTTATTACACTCTTGGATTTATACTTCTCACATATATAAATAGTTAAATCCCTCTGGTGTTCAGAAATTTTCGGCTTTCAGCTTTGGTTATGATCACCTAACACATTTATTGTCATGAGAGAAGGTTCTGGTGTCCCAAACCATTAATTTTTCATTGGTGTTGAATTTCTCTCTGTTAAGAGCTCTGTCTTCTGGAACATAATGTCACCTAGTCAAGTGAAAGTCAACCAACATTTCAGAGGAACATATTGCCTCCATCTTCTTGATTGAAAAGTAAGCCAGGCAAAAAGTCAGAATGACACAGGCAGAAATCAGCTTTCTTTCTGTTGCTGTGTTCCAGTTTAATTTGTTTTTCAAACTACTTTTAATATAAAGCCATCATGAAAAGTTTTCATGTGGTTGACAACACACCAGTACTTTTCTTACATTACTGAAGGTAAAACATGTATTTGAATTTAGGGCCAACAAAGAAAGTGAATAGAGCAATTTCTGAAAATAGTCATGTTACAAGTGTGTGAATCATGATGTGATAACCGAAAATCATATTTTTTTTTACATATGAGTCTTATATTAATAGTCTGAAATGTTATTTAGTTCAAACAATCTCGAGATTGAAGTTATACAGAGTCCCTTTTTGGCAGCGGAATTTGGACATTGGGACATTGCAGCAATGGACTACAAGCTGCATTTAAACACTGTTTTAAACCACAAATGAAATTATGAAATTTTAGGGAAACACAAAGCTGAATCTTTAGAAAAGAAATCCACACACTCTGGAATAAATGACTTGGATTTATGACTTGCTGATTGGAAGACCAGAAGTTCACAAAACAGATTCTGAAATACCATCCCACAGGAAGATGAGATGGACACCCATTGAACTTCAATTCTGTGACTTAAAACATGTCACCCATACATAGCCTAATTTCTAGATGGAATATGATAATGACTGTACATTTTACAAATTTGAGTAAAATATTTCTAAACTGAGGCTGATCTTAAATGGAAAACTCTGTTGTTGGAATATGTCTCTGGCCTTATGAATGAAAAGTAAGAACTGATGTAAGAATACCTGTAATAAAAGAAAACCATATGAAATATATAATACACAACAGGATGCATTCATTCAAAAAATATGAAAACCATTTAATGAGGAGATGGAAAAGGAATTTAAAACATTTAACAAAGTAGTCTATTTGAATATTTATTCTGTTTTGTTCATATAATCTTTTTCCATTACTGTGTGCCTTTAAAGTTATCTGGTAAAGAATATTCCTGCCATTAATGGGAAACAATGAAGTTCGCCCTTAGATGAAGTTTGAGGGCTATTCTGAAAGTAACCTCCATTTGTTTCAGACAACTAACATAGGAGCAGGGGATAGCTTGCGTATGCAAAGTAGCATCACATGACTCGTTGCCTTATAAACTATCATATAACCGGTCACCTACTGTTTGTTTTTGTCTCCCCAGAGTGAGTTATGTTGTGTCCTGTGATTGATAATCTTGCCAGCTGCAAAATTCACGCTGTTATCCACTTTATTCATGCTAAAATCACTAGTGCTGTGGACATCCATCATGAAATATGTGTGGTTTAGGGCCAAAATATAATGAGTAAATGAACTGGAAGTCAGTGGTGTAGAATGTTCAAAGATGGGCGAGCAAATGTTCATGATGAAGAATGAAGTGGTCAACTGGCCGTCTGTAGTGGGTGTGATCTTGTTCATAATGTTGACTAAAAAATTTGTGAAAGACTGCGGTTCACAATTTTTTACGTGTTTTACGTGAACTTCTGCAAATTTCATGCAGTGTTCTTTACTACATATCACAGTCTAGGCTATCACAATTTTTTCTTAAAATGGCCTCAGAAAACGCTCACAGGTGCACACAAAATGTAGAGAATGGCTTTGACTTTGACTTTTTTTTAGAGATATACCACAAAGGTGGCAATGAGTTTCTCAGTCACATCATATGAGTAACATGTAATGAAACCTGGGTTTCATTTGTGAATGCTGAAACCAAAGCGCAGTCAAAGCACACACATTCACCAAACAAGGCGAAGAAGTTTAAACAAATGTTGTCTGCCGACCATAAAGCTAATGGCAGCTGTTTTCTGGGACAGGAAAGGAGTGCTGATGGTGGAATTCATACAACAGGGGGCCACAGTAATGTCAGAAGTATATTGCAAAACACTAAAAAGACTGCATAGAGCCATTCAGAACAAAAGGCAAGCAATGCTGACATCCGATGTATGAGTACTGCTCCTCCAAGACAATGTGTGTCCACATGCAGCTGCTTGCACTCAAGCACTGCTGGAGCATTTCAACTGGGAGTTGTCTGAGCACCCTTCTTACAGCCCTGATCTCACTCCAAGCAACTACCACCTGTTTACCTGCCTCAAGAACTGATTAGGATCACAGCACTTCAGCAATAATGAGGAGTTAATGGAAGGTATCGGAATATGGCTGAGCTCACAGGCAACAGACTTCTTTGACACTGGTATACAAAAACTTATTCCCTGATATGACAAGTGCCTCAATTCCAGCATTGATTACACTGAGAAGTAACTTAAGTATGCACATATTTTTAGTATATAATACTTTTTTTTTCTCATTGCTTGTTTTGTTAACAGCTCACCAGAGGTTACTTTCTGAATAGCCCTCATATATGCAGAATACTTTAGTGTACTGCTTGGAAAAGTAAAAAAGAAAGAGACAGAAAAGGAAAACTGGAAATAAGTTTTGCTCAACAACAGTGCAGTGTGTAGTAACCTGTGATTTATGTAATAAATACACAAATATATAGGGTATGTATCATGTAATTTATTTGTGTTTAGAAATAAGCACTTTTATTAAACAGAAACAGTTTCAGGTCCCTTATGATGCCATTAGGAAAAATTTACTATATTTGCAGTTCCTACTTTGCTTTGTGAATTTTGCATACAGTTAGATGAACTCAAGATACACTTCACTATAATTGAATTTTTCAAGAAACATTAACGAATATAGTATAGTATAGTATAGTATTTATTGCATTCAAGCAAATCCAATTACAGGCCAACACCACTGGACACAGAACAAGTCAAATATCTTCAACAAATGCTCCAACAATGGAACTAGTCAACATAAAATATACATCAACCTAAAATATACATAACACTATACCATGTTTAATTGTAAATAAAATAAGTTAAAATTGTAATAAAAACACATTACATAATAAATTCATTCAACTTAGCAACTTATATATCTCAAACCATAAAAGATCACAACATCCATCAACTATAATGAAGTATGTTCGTTACATGGCATACCAGTCAAGTTGGAGATTATATCCNCACCTGTTTACCTGCCTCAAGAACTGATTAGGATCACAGCACTTCAGCAATAATGAGGAGTTAATGGAAGGTATCGGAATATGGCTGAGCTCACAGGCAACAGACTTCTTTGACACTGGTATACAAAAACTTATTCCCTGATATGACAAGTGCCTCAATTCCAGCATTGATTACACTGAGAAGTAACTTAAGTATGCACATATTTTTAGTATATAATACTTTTTTTTTCTCATTGCTTGTTTTGTTAACAGCTCACCAGAGGTTACTTTCTGAATAGCCCTCATATATGCAGAATACTTTAGTGTACTGCTTGGAAAAGTAAAAAAGAAAGAGACAGAAAAGGAAAACTGGAAATAAGTTTTGCTCAACAACAGTGCAGTGTGTAGTAACCTGTGATTTATGTAATAAATACACAAATATATAGGGTATGTATCATGTAATTTATTTGTGTTTAGAAATAAGCACTTTTATTAAACAGAAACAGTTTCAGGTCCCTTATGATGCCATTAGGAAAAATTTACTATATTTGCAGTTCCTACTTTGCTTTGTGAATTTTGCATACAGTTAGATGAACTCAAGATACACTTCACTATAATTGAATTTTTCAAGAAACATTAACGANAAAGGCGTTTAAGGCCACTCTAAATACCTTATTATCATGTACTACTTCCTTTATTTTTAATGGGAGACAATTAAAAAGTTTAATTCCATAGCAATAAGGACCCTTCTGATGAACTGTTAAATTTGTCTGAGGGCAATATAAATCTAAACTGTGCCTTGTATTGAGACCATGAATCTGTGTTGATGTATGGAATAGACCCTTATTATTTACAACAAATATCAATAAAGAAAATATATATTGGGACTGGAGTGGCAAAATCCCCCAATCCCTAAATGCTTGTCTACAGGAATCCCTTGCTCTTAGCCCACTCATAATTCTAATTATTCTTTTTTGAATTCTAAAAATTTGTACACTAAACGAGGTATTACCCCAAAAGATAATGCCACAGAACAAAGTGGACAGAATACTTAGAATGTCAAAACAAAGTTCATAAGGTGATAATTATAAAAATGCATTTTGAACTACTGTTCATGAGAAAGAAGTTATGCTAATAGTCTTCATGTCCATGGGACTAAAGCCAGAACAGACTTGTAGGTTACTTGTAATAGGCAGGAGATCATTAATGGCAGGAGTCTTTATGTGATACTGAATTGTGACTTGTATTAACTGCATGTGATAATTGAAACAAATTATAGATGTGATATATCATCTCTCCATTACTCCTGAATGAAGTCTCGTAGGTGGCAATCATAATGGCATTTATGAGGATCACTTTACCAGTCTATGAAATTACAGCTGCTTTGTTCACAAAAGAATAAGCCTTTTAGTATGCTTTCGTTGTGTGACAAGGAAAGGTGGGTTTATGGTATCACTATGTCTGTATGTTCATACATGTATATACCTTCTAATAAATTCTTAATCAATTTACATATTATTGTGGCACTTGTTATGAACATAATAGCATTAGAGGCCACCTGGTTGTTGTATTGTTTAATTCCCTACCATCAATGATAACAACATGTAAGCTGTGCAAACTTGAAATATAGGGTTGATTCAAGCCTGTTACTTGTGTATAATACAGGATGCTGAAATCTGATGTGATGCTAGGTCAAAAAATATGTAGCTTTTGGTAAGACTGTCCTTTTTTATATTCTATCCTTTTCATCCTTTTTGAAACAGTACAGTGGTCAAGCAAAATCTGTATTTATCTTTTGGTTTGGTGGCGGTAATTAATGGAGCATTGGAAGTAGTCATGTGATAAATGTACAGATGGGGATAGGTACAAGTACTTGGAAGTTCTATATGAAATATGTGTTTACTTTTATATGTTAACAATTAAAAACATGGGAATGGTGCAACGTTTATATATTATATTATATCAGGCAAAGTCAGCATAGTCAGAACCTTTACTGGTAGAAATCACGCACAGAACTTTGTCACCAAGTTGTACGAGTATAATTGTAGTTCTTACTAGCCGTGACACGTAGCCTGTAGCATTCAAAGGAGGGTAGCCTCTGGTTTTCTTGCTTGACTTAATCTTCAGCCCTGATGATGGAGGAAACATATTCCTCCAAAACATCAGTTTGACTTTCTTTCACTGGACCACATGGTATTATATTGCTGAAGACAGAACTCTTCATCATAAGCTGTTGTTTAGCAGTGCTCACTGGATCATGTGCGGCAGAATGTTTGTTCAGGGTGTCACAAATTCTGCTTTATTAACCGGTTTCTGATTCTTTCTGTCTGTAGGTTTGGGTTTCTCCATGTGCTGGAGTTCTATAGTGTTCTCCATTTCTGAAGCCTGTTTGCTGTCATGGTCTGTGCTGTACATCTACAACTCAGGAGACTGTGACCTTCCTTGGGCACATTATCACAATTATACTGGCAGTGAGTGCAGTTGGTTATCTCCTTTGTGACTTTGACAATATTAATACAAGCCTAATTCTGTAGTAACTTCATAGGGCTTCTGTAAATGCTGATAATTTAACTCAAAATCTCAAAATCGACTGTTGAACTGCCTCCACATTTTCTGGTGTTGTAACGGTCCGTTGTCATCCTGATGATTTTTTCACCACACTCCTGGTTGTCCTAAAGTTCTCTACCCACAAAACAATTGATTTCCAGTCGGGAAACAGACCTCTGGGCTTAATTCTGAAGTGAGTACGGAACGCATGCTGCATGGCCACGTAGGAATGCTTGTTCGAAAAATAGGCTTCAACAGCAAACGCGTGCTACTCACTCGTCCACCTCATGTTTCCTACTGAGGGGTATTAGAAACTTCCGTGACTGCTGCGTTCGCCCAGCCTATCCCCACTTTTCTGCGACCTCCTCTCCCTTCACAATGCGTCTTCACAAAAAGGAAGTTTCTGCACCCCACCCTGTAATAGGAGGCTGGAAAAGAGTGCATAATAAGGAGCTTCAAAACTTTTACATCTCGCCAAATATAATTAAGACCATCAAGACAAGGAGGATGAGATGGGCAGGCTATAGCATTCATAGAGAGAGGAGGGATGAATATAGTTTTTTGATGGGAAAGTCAGAAGGAAAGAAATCACTAGGAATACCCAGATGTACATGGAAGAATAATATAAAAATGGATATTAGAAAAATGGGATGGCATGGTATGGGCTGGATTCAACAGGCTCAGGAAAAGGATTGGTTTCAGGCTATTGTGAACATAGTAATGAACCTTCAGGTTCCATAAAATACTAGGAGGTTCTTGAGTAACTGAGCAACTGGTGGCTTCTCAATAAGGACTCCTCTCCTTGGAATTTGTTAATTAGTTTGTTGGTTGATTTGTTTTACATTAACTAATTAATTTACTAATGCTTCTGATTCATTTTAGTGACCAGCTCAGCAAAATACTTCACTGGTGAGATCCTAGGTGTATCTTCTGGGTTGGAAATATTTGGCAGCATTCAAGGCAGTTTGGTAATTGGACTAGCAATTACATGGGGTGCTGTAGCAGCTTGCCTTGCTGCAGGAATACGACATACTGGAAAGGTGAATTTTGTCTTGAGTGGATGGAAAAATGTCAAATAGAAATTGATGGCTTCTATTTAACCTGTCATATCTTGCAGCAGATTCATGTTAAGTTGCGGCGTATGGATTGACAGGAATTTATGTTTTACCGAAACAAACATAAAGTAATCCCTGTACCTACAAACTTTGGTGGGTAGCACAGGTGAAGCACATGTATAACACTACGTATTCTTAACTTCAGCACTAGATAGAGATGAGTGGTACACTTCATAAACTTTATCTTTCAGAAAAAGTCTCTGCTATCCCATGGTCAGAAGGGTTGATGAACCAGAGAGCTGTCTCCTATTTTCATAGCCAACCCATTTCCCATTAGTATTTTATGTTTTTGGATAATGATGTTAATTTACTGAGCAAAAACATTATTACTGTGAAGAGAAGCTTAGAATACCATTAGATAGTAGCAGGGAGGTTCATGAAGAAATACACAGAACATTACATGTATGTTCATGCCTGATTACCATAGTGCAGGGTGAAATAATTTTATGATGATAACTAATGGAGTCTTTGAAAGTATGGCTAAGTTCAGGTATTTTGAATTAACATCAAAATTACATTCAGAAAGAAGTTAAGAGCAGAATAAATTAAAAGAATATTTGCTACTATTCAATTCAGAATCTTTTATCTTCCAGTCCTTTACCTAAAACCCCTATGGATTAAAACATTCAATAAATTTACTGTTTTTTTTTCACAAGGGTGTGAAACTTGGTCTGTTATCCTTTAGGGAAGAAGATAGTTTGAACTTGTTTGAGAACAAATTGCTGCAGAGAATATCTGGACCTAAGATAGGAGATAACAAAATGATGGGCTTCAGATTTCTTGTTTTTCACCAAATATTATTAGGGTGAACAAATGGCAAAGGCTGAGGTGGGCAGTATTCTTGACAGAATTTGATAATTTTCTAAACCACAGAAAGTTTCTCCCAAGTCTCTTTGGCCCATATAACATTAAACTAGCCTGCCTGGTCCCCCAATCATAAATAATTTCCCATATCTACCATGTAATTATGACATATACATGCTTAGTGATATGCTCTGAAATATAAAAGCAGAGATATTTCCTGTTGTGTAGCTGTGCTATGTGGCTACACCAATAACTTTCCTTGTTGCTGGGATCCTACTGGTTCGTGGCCTGCTCCTGTGGAGCAGGAATGTGTCACAGGCTGTGTCACCGGACTGGAGTAGCCTAACAGATCTCACTGTATGGATGGCGGCTGGCTGCTATGTGTTCCACTCACTGAATCTTGGTCTTGGAGGTTTAACAGCAATCAGCAGCCATAACAAGCAGAACACAAATCTACTCAGGTAAGATCTAAAAGTCTGTGTTGATATATTATACAGTTCTGGACATTTATCCATTCATCATGTTTTAACACACAACATTTCGGAGACTGGACTCTGTGTTTGTTTTCAGGTAAAAGCATACTGAGTTGTGCCCAGTTGATAGGGACTGACTTTTTCGGAGATGGAGACAGAATCCAGTCTCTGAAATGTTGTGTTTTGAATAAAAAACAGGACGATGGATAATGTCCAGAAAATAATTGTGACAGTTTATGGTGTTGGAAAGAGGTTTCATCTGTAAGCCAACAAGCACTGCATTAATACTGAAAAAAGCCGGAATATCTTGAGTCAGATCTGACGTCCATTGCTAGACAACGGCTTGTTAAAACACGTGGCCAGGACAGCAAGCTGGAATAGACCATTTCTGAGCAACACTCAGTAAACACTGCCTAGAGACGTCCATTGCCGGGCAACGGCTCAATAAGCGTTGTTCCTGCAACAACCAATACACTAGAGATAAAATCAATGTGTTACCTAAAAATGAAAATACGTTCCTGCAGCAACGGATAGACCAGCTACTGATTCTCTTAGGTAACACTGGAAGTTAAACCCTTGAAGATGACGTCTTCCAGTCCGTCCGACTATAGAAGATAAGAGATCAGAGAAGACCGGAGTGGAGATCAGATCAGAGACGACCAGAGAAGAGAACAGAGATCAGAGGAGACCAGAAGAAAATTGAGAACAGGTCAGACCAAAGGAGAACTGAGAGCAGTTCAGAGCAGAAGAAACAAGCACAGCCAAGAACCAGAAGACGAAACGCGAGAGACATTCGATTAGTCAGGTCGCATCATCTGGAAGACGTTATTTCAGAGTGATTATAATCGTAATTGTAAACAAGTTATCCAGTAAACAGCTTTGTCAAATCTGGAACCCATTAATTTCTTGTCACGTTTTCTGGATATGTGACAGTACATTAACTGCAAGCATGATATAACCATGTAGTAAGCATGTGATCAATCTTCTGTACCTCCACTCCCCAGTCTTCATGGCATATTGCCTAATTAATTAAGCACAGGGTGACTTACTTTTTTACTTCATCTTTTATTAGCTGTGTGTAAAGTTGTCATGGGCTTTGTTTCTTCCCCATGACTGAGCTCATATCAACACAGATAATATTCCCTAAATCATCTGTCATAATCTGATATAAAAGATGAATAAAATATTATGAACATTCTGGAAAAAACCTCAAATCTTACATTTTTGAAAAAATTTGGCCCTGTTGAAAGAGGCAGTAGGTTCCTCAGTAATGTCAATGTTTATATTTCTCAGTGCAGTGCTATTCACAAACAGTTCATTGCATATTGCAGAATGAGAAACCACTGTGGAAATGCAGATGTCCCTTAGGCATAGTAGAATTTTTCTCCAAACATACTCTGTTCTGGTAGGTAATTGGCTTCTTGTAACAAGGCTGAAATCTGTGTTTACATCATCATCTCTATATTTAAATGTGACCTAGCCCTGTCCAAAGTATAGGGTTAAGGTTAGCTGTCACGACAACAAATGTTTTCATGATCAGTCAGTATTGTTCAGATTGGATTTTATTTCCTGCTATGTATATTTCAGTCCTCATGGGACCATCATCAGGCAGTAATATGTGATATGTCTAGGGTTATTGAACTCCTAATATGAATCCATATTTGCACAATGCATCGTACTCTATAATATAAATTGTGCGTTAGGTTACAATATAAGTATTAAAATTAAATAATAGTAGTATACCTTGGATATATATTAGAAAATATATTAAATATTGACAATTTACTATAGTAAAAGTATTAAAAGATATATTAAATTTATATTTTAACAGGTTTTCAAGATTAAAATGCCAAATATAGTGCTAAGTTACGACATTAAGTTATAGTTTGTGTGGGTCCATGTTGTTTAGTGTCCATACTGTGGAAGTCATTATGCCCTGGGGTATGTTGTAGATGTATTATGAAAGCTATTGTGAGAGGTTGTTGTGTGCAGTATTAAGTATCCTGTTCATTGATATAAAGTCATATGATATTTGTGATCATTAATTATGCATATGCACTGGATGGGCATTGTATGCTCATCATGTAGTAAGTGGGTTGATAAATGTAAAGCTTCCAAATATCTCTTATCCAAAATTGTTTTCTGTTTCTCTGTTTCTACCATAGTCCATACTTTTAATATTATCACTTGCTGAAGTACACTGTCTTTACCTGGATAACGCTTCATGTCTTTTTGGCTTCAATGAATCAGGGAATTTATGATGGACCTGACATGTGACTTGGATGGGATGGACAAGGAATGCATGCAGAATTTTGTCGGTAGAAAATGCCAGAATGAATCTTAGGAACATAAATTGTGAGTATGGAAGATAAATGTAATTGGATGATGTCCATGGTGAGTTCTGGTGGTAGGAGCATTAAAACATGGAGTATGTCACCAGAGAGTTGGTTAGATAGTTAGATTCCCTGCCCATACAACAGTATTTCAATTTTGTCTAAAAGTGCTGTCTTTATTTGTTAGGGATGCAGTCCTGATATGCCTATTCCACTTTGTATGGGGTGTCATGATGTGGCTGGTATATGTGTGTCTCATGGCTGACTACCGAGCCAGCAATCAGTTTCCAAAGAATATCACTGGGGGACCTTGGATTGTATTTGTTGTGTTTGCAAGAGGACTAGCTGCTTTACCACATGGAATTGTATTCTCATTGGCAATGTACATCATGGTATTCTTTGTGGGTGAGTATTACAAATCCAAAGCTAAAAGAGCTGTATATTTAACTTGACCCTTTGCACACCACAAGCTGCTTAGATTTGCTTGGTGTACTTGTGTTAACACTGTCACATCCGAAGAGAGTGGCTCAGTGTTGGTCACTTTGTACAGCATTTGTCAGTAGATGTCAGGTATGATGTATATATTTTGAGGAAGGAATAAGCTTTCATGTATCACAGTTCTCCTGTGTATAGAGAAACCTACCTTCATAGCCACCATAATGCTTAGAAAGGAGAAGGAACGTTTGTCTAAATTTTTTTCCTTTGTTACTATTACATTGAAATTTTTCATGATGCCAAATGGCTGAGAATTTCTTAACTGAGCAACTACTGATTTATCAAGGAGTCTGTGTATGTAGTTAGTTATGATGCCTAATATGTCAGCTATCTATGGAGCAATCTGTGATCAAAATATAAATTAACTTCAAGTTTTTAAATATGGTACAAAGAAGCATTAAGTTTTTGTGTTTCTGATGGAATTTCAGAGATATTTATTGGTTAAGAAACAATATAACAGTATGTAAATTAATATGTAGTATTAGCACTTGAAAGCTTTTGTTTTTTCATCCTCTATCATAGTGATATTTGTTCTGTATGAGAGTTGTCTAACTTACTGATTTATGTTAGATTTTATAGTATATATGGAAGCCACATTCTCCTTGTTGGCTACATCTCCCATGTTATTCATCTTAACATCAGATGGATATACAGCAACTATTTTGTTGTGAAATAATAGAGTAAGATCTGAGGTATTGCCTGCCTGAATAGGATCACGGATGGTTTTAAATAAGTTCATTGAGCTACATTATTGATTTTATTTTCAGGTATTGGTACACTGTTAGGAACAATTTTGGTTATAGTTTCAACATTTCTTGACTTCTTCCCTGCACTTCATGGTAGGAGAGGGCCAGTCACAATTTCTGTCTGCATTGTCCTGTTTCTGGTTGGGCTGCCACTTACTTCACAGGTAATATGACTTCAGATCCAGTCATTCATTTGTAAAGTATGTAATATGTTCTGTTAGGAGGAGAAGTTGTGTTTAGTACTTTAGCATCAAATGAGGGCAGAGAATGATTGTATACAGTTGATTCAAAATTGTATGTTCTAATTTAAACGGCATAGCTTGTGAACAATGTATAAATAGAATGAGATAAATGATGGGAAAGTTATCTTATTGTTTAAGCACACATGTTAAAAAGACTTTTGGAGAGTGTGGAAATACAGCTCCACACGTAATAAACCTCAATATTAAACTGGGTTAAGTTGTAAGTTTTATGTTCTCACAACCTGAACTCAATAGATAGCCAGGGTGGACCCAGGGCTGAGCTTGACTGGTCATGGTAACTCCTGTTGGGAAAACCCTGATTGTCCTACCCATAGCTAGTCATTATACATATTTACTGAGCTGTCCCACCTCATCAACCTAAGAATAAAGCCACCTGAGAAAGGAAAAGTAATAGTTCTGGAGTAGCTATTTGATCTTTTCGTGATCCTGTTATTTGTTTTTCGGTGAACTTATTGTTTGGCCTTTTATTGAGCTTGTTCAATTTTTCAGCAATTCTCGTTGTTTTGTCATACAGTGAGCCTGTTTTTGGTCTTTTGGTGAGCTTATTTTGTCTTTCAGTGAGACTGTTAGTCTTTTAATGAGCTCTTTTGGTCTTTCAGTGAGAATGTTGATCAGGCTTGATATTAGGGCACAAGCAAATTAAAATGCATTTATACACATTTGACAGTAGTTTCCAAATTGGATAATAGCAGTAAGATCTTGTTAATCCTGCTTTGCCATGGTATCAATGCATGATTTGTTAACCTGTTGTTACCTCATATTGTATTTCTCATATGTATTTTTATTCATTACATAATCTTCTTCTTCTTCTTCTTCTGCTTCTTCTTCAGAGTAGCTAATTTTATCTTGGTACTATGTTTGTCTCTAACATTTCTCAGTTATTAATTCTAAAATATTATGACTCACTGAAGTTTTCTATGAACCCAGAGGAAGGGGAACGTCTGCCATTGAAAGCCTCTACCAAGCAAAGGCTAGAAAAAATACGAGAGAGAGAGAGAGAGAGAGAGGGGGTGAGTGGGGGGGGAGCACGCGAGCCCACATGTTCAACTTTTTAGAGACAAACTGTGAATCATAATTTCAACACAGATTTTGCTCTACATGTACAGGCAGGTATATAGTGAATACATCCTGAGAAATGACGCACTGGAGACTGCCTTTTCCAATATGATATTGCTCTTCCTCACTCTGCTTTATCTGGCCAGCAACTGCATAGCCGTTATCTCTCACCCACCAAACTCCCGAGGTGTAGCACCATGTGATTTTTACCATTTCCATATGTCAAGTTAGTGCTGAAGGGAAGAAGATTGATGCAATCATCACAATCCATGCAAAATCCGAGACTTAACTTTAGGAGTTCAAGACACAGGTCTTCCACAGACGCTTCTAACAATGGCAGAATGACTAGACTCACTACAGCAGGTTACTAGGAAGTTTCTTTTTAAGTGATGGCAAGGAATTACCACTAACTGTGTTCAGTAAAAAAAAATCAGTCCAAAAATTTTTGGCATTATCATTAATTACTATGCATATAACTGAGTATGAGAAAGTTGTCTGATAAAGGCCACACTGATCAGAGTTTGTGTCTGAATTCATTAACAGTAATGACAATTTTTACATGTATCAGGCATATTCACAAAGTTTGTTCAGTCATTGTAAATAATTTATAGCTATTTCATAAGTTTTGATCAATAGATTTTTCCTTGTGAGGTGTCCATCCCATGTTCACTTCAAATCTTCATGTGCAGCATTCCAAATAAAAATAATTATTCACCCCCACCTGTAAGATATATGTCTGTTTTTCATCAGGCTGGATTCCACATACAATTGCTGCTTTCATACTACTCTGTTAACTGGCCACTCATCTTGTACTCACTGTGTATGACCCTTGCTATCAGCTACTCCTACGGACAGAAGCGGTATATTTCTGAACTATGCTGCATCAGCAATATCAAGCTACAAGAAACCACAATGACTCATTTGATTGTGCTCTTCACAACAGGTGTTCCTGTGCTGCTGATGGTAAGTCACAAATACTGCTTGCTTTATGATTCTAGTTTCAGTTGTAATAAAACTTTTTAACAGTTACTAATATTATGCACTACTAGCATCTTAATGCAGAGCAATTTGCACTGTCATTTCAGAAACTATTTTTGTTGCTCATGGTGGTTACTTACAATAGCCATCAAATTTGTTGGGCATTATTAATTTCCTTCTAAATTTCCTGTGTCCTTTTCATATTTTTTCCATTGCATTCTCTCTCCAGCGTTTCTTTTCCATTTCTTGTCTATTCTATTGTCATTCCCTTCTTCCTTCCTTCCTTCCTTCCTTCCTTCCTTCCTTCCTCCCTACCTCTCCTTCAAAGTAAACAGCTTCCTCACCTATATTCTTTCATACCTTTATCCATTTCATAACTTTGTCTCCTTCTGCCTTTTCTCCTGCATTCCTTTTTTCCCATCCCTTTTATGTGTTTATCCTGTCATCATCCTTCTCCCTTATCTAGCAACAGAAACAGATAATTTGGATATTAACCCATTTCCTACTAATACCAGAAGATAATTTGGGTTTTGCCACTTAACCTAGCAATGATGGAAGATAGTTCAGGTTTTTGTTCATATTTTATTAATGGCATAAAATTTGGGTTTCTCCCAACATCACGGCAATGACCCTAATGCTTTTCTTAGAGAGAATAATGTGTAATAAGCTGGGTTATTCTCAAACTGATGCACATAGCAATATTAACAAGAATTCCATCTCCAAGAGGCTTGCTTTTGGCTTCACCAACTTTTTTCTGTGATTCACCTTTTGTGAATAATGAGACAGATGGACCGCCTTTGGCAACTATATTTACATTTTACATAAACATACAGTTTCAAATCATGCATAAAACTAATGCTTGATAGGGAGGGCATGTCTCTGTCTGCATATTTCATCTCTGAAACTGCCCAGTTTTGAGGAAGGAGGCAAGGATGAAGCCAAAATCTGTACCACTTCTTTCCACATTCAGCTTACTCTTCTGCCCTGAAGATGAAAGCAGCATCTTGCTCTGAAGCATCCTCTGATTGTTTACCCTTGTCTCCTTCCTTTTGTGCAGTCATCTTCTTTTTCCCTCTTCTCTGCCTTCAGCCCATGTTAATGTTGTACCCTCACACCTAACCTGTCATTGAAACAGGCCCTGCATGTCCAATGTCTCTTGACATCCCTGTACCACCCACTGGTCACCCAGAGCCATTATTTTTACAGTATTTCTAATCCCGTCCTTTCAAGGTCATCAGATTCTTTCTTCCTTTTTCTTCTCCTGTTGATTTGCTTGGGCTTCTACCCCTATATCCTGTAACTTTCTTCCACTCTTTGCTCTGTCTCCTACTCTGAAGATATAGAGGGCACATTCTTCTGAAACATTAGTAAACATGTACATGGTGTTACACCCCAGAAGACAATAATATTCAGTCACAGCTGGCAGCACATTCCTCCAGACTGTGGTACACATCTACCAGCCTACACAGTCACAGCACAGAATACAGCAAGTTTCATAGTCATCACTATAAGAGCCTCAGTTGTTGCATGTGCCAGTGTAAATTTTGCACATAAATGGATCATTAATTATATAGCTATAACACATTCTTTATGAAGTAGAAAGAAGAATGTCTGTCTGTCTGTCTCTGTGACCTAGTGTCAGCACCTGTACTGCAAGACAGATTTTCATCAAATTAAATAAGCAAGCCTACTTAAAATTTTCAAGTGCCTCTGATTTTCAGCTATAATAATCCATAGTTAAGCTTGATTTACGTAATGAAATGGATGGACTTCTCTGTATATTCCAGAAACCATGTCACAGATGATGTTGAAATTCAGTATGAGAGACTTCCAGCAAAGGTTGTCAGAAGTTCCAGTTTTCAGCCTTATTGGTCCATAATAATGCTTGGTTTACATAAAAGATCTTAAATTGATTTTCTAAGTAACCTATGAACTGTTTCACAGATATTGTTAAAGTTTAAGTTTCGAGACTTTTGACGAAATTTTTTGGGCGCTTCTGATTTCCCGCCATATTGACCATAATAAAGCCTAGATTACAGAAGACCATAATTGGACATTTCCATATAACCTATACACCATTTCACGGCTTTTGTTCCATTTGATATGGAAGACTTCCAGCAAAAGCTGTAAGGCATTTCTTATTTTCAGCCACATTGATATGTAAGAAAACTTGGTTTACACTGTTGGTAATTCATTGCAACATACTACGGGGTACACTCTTTCCAGTCTTGTTAATTTGTAGTTCTAGCTCCATAATATAGGTAGCACTTGAAGACATTCCATTAATCATTTGTTGTATTTTACAGGTCCTCTTGTTCTGCAGTTTCTACCATACAAGCAGCCCTCCTGATGGTCAAACCCCTTATCCTAGTTGGGCAAAGGCTGTGGGGTGGCTGCTCTCTACATCGCCAGCTGTGTTCTTACTTGCTGGCGCAGTTCTCAGGTTCTTGCAGTTCTGTCAGAAACAAAGTCTGATCCAGGTATTTTATCATTTTATATGCTCTTCACAAAGACGTATGAGCTTCATTCTGACCCATCTGTCTGTCTGCCCATTCTTCTACCTGTGTGCTTGCAGGGAGGAATCATGAATGACAGAATGTTAAGGCCATAAACAACAAATTTTCTAAGAGCATATTTGGACATTGGGAGACAGCTGACATTATGGGAAGAAAGGGATGAAGGGATATACATGTGTTTTAGTTTCATAAAATCAGTAACTTTACTTCTTATACAATCTTGGATTAGCAGTGAAGTAACATTATTTGTGCATATAAGTATTGGTGCCTTCCAGGTATGTGCCATGATTGGATTGATGTGAAACTTCTTGTTTCAGAGTTTTAAACTGCTGTTGAAACCAGATGAAATCTTCGCTGAAACGTTATCATCATCGCACCACTCCTCAAGCTGTGAAAAGACAACTATGACCACACCGATTATTGCAGTGGAGAGCAAGGATTTCTTCTTTGTTCCCTCAATTAACACAAGCGATGGCAATAATAACTTGAGTTTGTACAACAACAGGAGTCACAAGGCTGACCCTGAGCACAGTTCCTTTTGATCTCTGATGGAACATCAGGATGTTTCATCCATGTATTTTCAGACTAGTTTTCCAGGTATAAACTGTCTGGAAGAGATTGTCCCCTCCCCATTGAGTACTGCAATTGATCTCGATCACTGTTGATGGATGGGATTATTGAAATATGTTTGGTAGTGATGACCTTGAATATTTTAGTTGTGTGTCCAAATAATTCTCAGGTTGAGAATTTGTATCTGTGGTCTATGTTTTCATCATCACTTCTTACCGCTTCAGTGCACTAACTGTGGATCATTCCATAAATACACATATTGCAGTTTCATCTGAATATCACACACTGGGTCACCACACAATGGATCATCTCATACTTTCCAGTATTTATCTCCTTGCTTCATGATATCAAATCAAAAAGCTGTCTCATAAGGCCCTACAGACAAGTCATAACTTTTATCTCTGTGGAGAGAAATGTGAGAATATTTGACTGGATAGCTCAGTCAGTAAAGTAACTGGCTACAGACTGGATGGCTAGAATTTGATTCTGAGCAGAGGCCAGTTATTTCTTTTCACTGTTACATCGAGATTGGTATTCAGCCTCCATTCAATGTGCAAAGAACAGAACCTCATTTTATGAGGTTAAAGCGGGTGGAGCATACAAGGTCTGACAATAAAGTTTGCGAACTCATGACTGTGTGCTTGCCATGGCAGCAGCGGACAGAAACCTCAGTATGATTTGATGACATTCACATATCAGCGTTTCACAGCTGTGTTGTTGTTAATCTATGCCAGTCTCTTTGTGAGTGGCATATATTATTGTCTGAGTGCGTTTCGGTGTGCCGTCATGATAATTTCAGGGCTTGAATTAGAGCAACGAATAAACATTAAATTTCTTGTTAAACTTGGCAAGAGTGAAAGCGAAATCAGAGAGCTGTTAGTGCAAGTTTATGGGGATAATTCTATGAAGAAAACAACGGTTTACAAATGGGTGACACGTTTTTCTGAGGGAAGAGAAAGTGTCACCGACAAAGAGAGTTCAAGATGGCCAGCAATGAGCAGAACTGAAGGAAACGTTGCAGAAGTTCGTAAAATTATGTGTAAAAATTTTCGGCTGACTCTCAGGAGCATAAGAGAGCAAGCAAACAATGACAGAGAAACAGTCAGGAAAATCTTAACTGAAGACCTTGACATGAGAGAGGTGTGTGCAGGAATGGTCCCGAAAGAGCTCACCAAAGAACACTGTCTGTGAGGGAGTTTTAGCTAGTAAACAACTGTGCTGGAACACCCTCTGTGTTCATCAGATCAAGCCTCCAGTGACTTTTTTCTGTTCTTCAACATAAAGGAGATATTGAAAGGAAGGCATTTTCATGTCATTGATGACATCAGGAGTAATATGATGGCAGCTCTGAAGGCCATTCCACAAAACCAGTTCCAAAATTGTTTCGAAGGGTGGACTAGGCACATAGCTTCCCAAGGGGAGTACTTTGATTNGGTCCCGAAAGAGCTCACCAAAGAACACTGTCTGTGAGGGAGTTTTAGCTAGTAAACAACTGTGCTGGAACACCCTCTGTGTTCATCAGATCAAGCCTCCAGTGACTTTTTTCTGTTCTTCAACATAAAGGAGATATTGAAAGGAAGGCATTTTCATGTCATTGATGACATCAGGAGTAATATGATGGCAGCTCTGAAGGCCATTCCACAAAACCAGTTCCAAAATTGTTTTGAAGGGTGGACTAGGCACATAGCTTCCCAAGGGGAGTACTTTGAGTACAGTGATATTCAGCAATGAGGTATATAGCACTTTTACCGCGATGAGTTTGCAAACTTTATTGTAAGACCACATAATTCTGACTGCTCTCTTCCATCTGGTAACAGGACTAAGAATGTATGGGGTTTCACTTCCACTCCTCCTGTACACCCTCATGGTTTGCTGCTTAGGCACAGAGACGTCTTTTGCCTTTTTTAGTAGACTGTATGCCAGATGGACTAAATTCCTATAAATGACAATGCCTCTACAGAAATATTTGTAAAATTCAGGCGGTATGAATGCCAGTTCTAAAGAGTTCTGATGATAGTATTATGCTTAGGATTACTGGGCTTCTGGAATTTGCCCATTCTTTGTACACTGAACAGAACACAACTTCTCATAAACTGGGTCTGTTTCTACTCTCAGGTGAAAAGTTGAGCTTCAGTAATCCTCGGAGGTAAATATGTTACAGTTATATGGTTGATTTGTTTTATTTAATAGTTAGGATTGATAAAAACCAGCTGGTATTAGCCTGTGGTGTTGAGTATGATAAAAGAAAAGAAGATAACTGAGCATGTCTTGAGTAGAATCCCCATTTGATATACTTTTTAAATGCGGCACTTAAAATAAATTTTATACAGGAAAATGTAAAATAAAGTAGATTAAATTTATCATCAGTGTCACAAATTTGACCCAGTGACCTGTTCCTTTCCCACCCTGGAACTGATTATCCTAGTGCGCGCGCAACTGTGAACTGTCACACGGTTCCTAAGTAACAGCACAACATTCATCTTGCTCTGGTATACACCGCATTGTCTGTGTCAGTATTCGTGTGTGTAGTTTGTTTCAAGGCCGATCGAAGCCGGTCCCAACCTATGGTACAGAAGCGAGATTCTTTCTGAGGGTGATGAATTATATCTGTTAGGGTTTGTAGGAATGGTCTGAAGGGCAGTTTAGGACCCCAAAGAGAGGAAAAAAGTCAACGGAGAAAGAAAATGGAATCAGTTTACATAATGTTCCTGTGCATAAATCATTAAGATTGAAGAATTCTATCTTGACATCTATAGTACGGTAAAACTGAACTGACGTTTCGGAGAAACATATCCACTCCATTTTCAGGGTCGAAGAACAAGCCAAATAAAAGCCAACATGAAGCAGGCAGTAAGTGAGCTGCTTCCTTCTGGTTGACTTTCACAGGACTACAGGCTTCTTATTCCAAAGATAGAATTCTTCATAGTCACTTCTCTGAGAACCTCAAATCCAATATTATTAAGTTTGGATGGACTGGGCAATTAGCCAGAATGAATTATGTATCTATAATTTACGTATGATTTTAAGTTGCAATAAGTGTATTTAAGACAACTACTAACGTGCTTTGACATATAGTAATCGTGCAGTATCCCATCATTTCATGTTATCATAATAGATACACTAGAGCTTGTCCGTCGGTTTCTACATATCTTCTGACGACTTCTTCACAAAGCTCAGCAGGAACAGGAAGTATGAATACGTCTCATTCAACACCTGCAACAGACGAAAAAATGTTCTCACTGCGATCGCTTATTTTTATCACAATATNTCTAAGGTCTCCGATTTTTTTTCTCACACAATAACCATACAAACAATTTGAAACTTCTGTCACTTTTCAACGTAATCTCCCTGCAGCCATACACATTTTTCACAACGTCTACACCTTGATTCCATGGCCGCTATGAACGCTTCTGTAGAAGTCTGTTTTGACCACTGGAAAATCGCGCTTTGTTTCAGGATTGAAAAACGGCATCCATGTCTCATCCATTGTCACAACTGATGAAAACAAAGTCCCATTCATGCCTTCATCACGTGTCAACATCGCCTGGCAAATGCCATGCACAGCCTTGTGGTTGTCCACCAGAATTTTTGGCACCCACCTGGAGGATATTCGCAGGTCTTCATGCAGGATTGTGTGCACAGATCCCACGGAAATGCAACTTTGGAGGCAATGTTTTCCACACTCAATCGGCGATCCTCCAAAACAACTTTCTCAACTCGCTCGACCATGTTGTCAGACCGGCTGGTGCGAGGCCGAGATTGTTTTGGTTCGTTGTCACACGACGTTCGGCCTTCTTTGAACTGTCACACCCACGAACGCACATTTTTCACATTCATGACACCATCACCACATGTCTCACTCAACTGGCGATGAATTTCAATGCGTGTCACGCCACGCAAGTGGAGAAAACGAATGATTACTCGCTGTTATTGTAACGAAAACGTCGCCGTTTTAAGTATCAAAAAACACTTCTCACTCTCGCTGCCACCACTATACTCGTAGTTCTGTGTGCTGTACAGTGCTGCCTTCTCTGTCACGCATTCACAAAGAGTGCACACGTATTTTAAACTAAACCGCATGTGTCTATCTGCTCCCAGTCCTGAGAAAAAAAATCGGAGACCTTAGAATTTGAACGCCCCTCGTAGTATCACAATGTCACCGATATTGGACGGAAATTAATCGAGAGCATTAATTTTGTGACACATGAAATTTCCAGGCCTGTGACGGTTAGTGGGTTCTAGATTGTGATGCTGTTTAGTGTGGTAGAAATTTGCCAAGGTTTATGGGGCAAATTTCTGCCTCCATCTTCAAGAGAGAAAAGGAAATTCGTGGGAAAACGAGGGTACAGGTATAGGGAAAAAAGGAAATTAGGGGTTTGAAGGAGCCAATGGAAGTCGGTGGCTCGCATTGAGAGGCCCAATTAAAGGCCACAGTCTCCAGTTTTCCCAGTGGCAGTCATGGTTTCCCTCGTTTCAATAATTTCGTTCTCTTGTTTTCTCGTCCGAGTTGCATTTCCACCCTGAAACTGTTAGCAGCATATACATCTGAAACGTCTGAAACACCATCCACAACAGCATGATGTAACAATTAATGATCGTAATCAACAATTAAGCTAGTTTTAATATATTTTGAAGTCCATTGGTGAAAATCCAAGCGTAGCTTGAAAAAAAAACGAGACTACTGAAACTATCAATTGAACTACAGCTTCAGCAACGTTCAGGTTTCTCACCTTCAGCATGGTGCGGCGAGACACAGGAAAAATCTTTCCGGCTGTGAGGGTGAATTCTTCAGACACGGTCATCAGAACATTAATTGAGCGCTGATGGGAAACGGGTGAACCAGCCCAGTCGCTCTTCCATGCTGCTTCGCGTACCAGGCCAGACTGGAAAACAGTGCAGTCACATGTGCTATACCGGGCACTAATACGTTTAGTAAAAACAACTTGTTTTATGTCTATATAGAAATGTTCACAGAGCAGAAGTGCCATATATCAAATGTGTCAGAGGGTTAAGAATATCATCTTCCATTAGTTCCTTAATAAAAAAACTCCGTGGCTTTTAGTCCGCAAGCGAACTATACCGACCGAGCGATCGCCGCTTGTCAGCGAAGTCAGTGCCAACTTTAGCTGATAGAGGGTGTCGCGTGGTCAGCGCAATGAATCCCCACTGCCGTTAATTTCGGTTTTCTAGACCGGAGCCGCCGTTTCCTTGAAATAACTCCTCAATTATCCTCACGAGGCTGAGTGGACCCCGTTCCAGACCCACTACTTCTCAGAAAATCCCGTAGCGCGTGGAATCGAACCCGGACCTCTGGATCTGTAGCCAGGAACCCTGACCACAGAGGCTGTCAGAAATCAGTAACTTGACATAAAGTGAATTCAATTTACAAGCAGTAATTCATGTGTAATGTAAGAGCCGTATATACCGTATATATTCGCAAAAAAAACGGCGTATATATAAAGTGGCGTGCCGCATAAACGCCAGAATATCTGAGTCAAAGCTGGCGCCCACTGTTAGTCAACGGCTAGGTATCCACGGTTCCGTAGCGTTGTCATGGTGACAATGAAACAGGTTGAAGCGACAAAGCTACATAAGAGTCGTTACCACGCAAGTGAAGAAGTTCTCGCGTCAAGCAATATGCTGGAGACCGTTGCATTGGAAAACACGAAATAGGAACCTTTCGGGGCCGTGTCTGCTATTCGGTAGGCCAAGAACTTACATCAGGAAGATTACAGCAGATATAACCAGATCAGATCAGACCGTAGCGGAGATAACCAGAAGTGGGCTAAGATCAGAACAGAAGCAAGAGAAGAACCGACAGATGTCTTCGTGAGGCGTGGTTACAGTGAACATCAGAGTGTGATCATTGTTCGTAATTACAAAGGGTTATAATAATCGCGTGTGATAATTGTCTGTAGTTCCGCCTGGCATAATTCTCCAATAATCCGCTTTCCCAAATTCGTAACCCAATAATTATTTGTCACGGATACCCGGATACGTGACAATATATATGTTATGTCAGTAAGTGAAGCAGGCTTTAAAATGGACAAAATTAAACAGGGATCAAATTGGCTTAACAAATTGTCACAAGTCTCTAATATCGAGCTGGAACAGAAGCAGGTAGGAGTTTTGTAAGCTCTTAATTTCGGACACGAATTGGTAGTTTTCGAAAAACAGATGTTTGATCCCGTGCGAAGGCTGAAGCCTGGTCTTCAACTGTGGGCCTATCCGCTTGTATCACGAACATTAAAAATCACAGCCGAGCACCAGCACGAACATTCTGTGCAGCAACTGTTGATAGTCAAGCTGATTATTTTTATGGTTCCAGTATTTGGATATACTCGGATATATTGCTTGCTTTCATAATTCAATATAAGAAATTACTTTCTAGCTTACATTTAACTGAGCACATATTTTTAAATACAAGAATTTTTTTATAATATTCGATGAAATTCCGAGGCTTATGTAATGGTCCGAGATACTGTTTGACCGCTTACGGTATGCATTTATTTCGAAACGGATTACCTGTTCTGTAAGCTCATTGCCAAACCAGCAGAAGATCTGTAACTCAGCCAGCAAGACGAGTATAATAAGAAGTGCCTGATATACCTCGCTGTATTTCCCCATCTGAAAAGCAAGTGTACCAGATAAAATGTTATGGTGTAGTGGTGGTAGTAGTAGTAGTACAGCAGCAATAGTACTAGTATAGTATTACTATAAATTCTAGAAGCAGTGATAGTGGTAGTAGTAGTAGTAATAGTAACAGTAATAATAATAGTAGTAGTAGTAGTAGAGTACTATAAGAAGTATTAGTAACAGCAGCTTAATAGTAGCAATATCAGCAGTAATGGTGGTAGTAGTAGTAGTAGTAAATTTGACTCTGTACCTAGCCATCACACCATGAAAGCGTACAGGGGGTGTTCGAGATGAAGCTTCACGTATTCACCTCTCCAGCATTGGATGGAGATGAGTGGTCAGCTTAATAATCCTACGTTTTGCCATCCTCTCTGGATAAGAGGACCTGGTGGATACAGGACTGAATAGACAACAGAGCCGCTCTGGACGTGGAGGTGGGGGGGATGTTCGGCCCACGTTGATAATAAATCATATAATTTAGTTTTGAAAACACGAGAAACAGTGCACGATAAATATCATTTTAGCACTGTTATGGGGTCGCTAGCGGGGGGGGGGAGTGATCCAATAACGCCACCATTGACGTATATAATTATGCGAATTCCAAGGAAAAAGCACAATACACAATTTTCAACTATGCAGAATATAATTCATAAATGCATTATCATAGAAGTCCCCGCCGTTTGGTCGGTTCAAGATGGATATATACGAGTACATGCACTCCCCCATACGTCTTCATGGCGTAGTGCTTAATTAGTTAAACACAGGGACACTTTGCCTTTTTATCGGTTAAATTTAGTGGTTTTGCCTGACTCTAGCGTTGTTAACACTTCGGTGAAGTTGGTAGGTTGCTGGAGCTAGACTAATTCTGACATTTTAGAAGGATAGAGCGACTGGTATGTTGTTAATTGGTTTGACTTACTGTTTGTGGATGGTCCTCCATGGTGCGACTGCTTCTTAAGGCTGAAGAAGTGGACGGTCCTTCTGGCCGTAGATTGGCGCTCTCATTACAACTCTATATGATAACATTTCCTGTTTTCTAGCCTTCACTTATATAGGAGCTGCGAACTTCTCCACACCAGAAATTTCGTTCTTTTTCTGTCAACATTAGTTCTCTCTCATTGCCTGTGCGCCCACGTAATTTCCCTAAGTCAGCGTTTTCGTCACCTCAGATACCGTAACCTATCGCAACTAACTCGACACAAAGAGTGCTGAATCGGAATTTTGGGGCTCTCCTGACGTACTGAATTTGTTTTCCCTCAGATGTTTTATTATCTACTTGCCATCGTAATACAAACCGTGATGGCCGCAGGGCGTAACAATACCATGATTACTGACGAAGATCAAGATGATATGGATATTACTTGGAATTCTAGTTACGTGGCACGGAGCACCTTCGTATTCTTGATAATGACAATCCTCAGTATGAAGTGTAGCTGAGATTAAATTGAATAGATAATGGAGGACATGGATTAGAAGTGATCCTATTGCCCAAGAGTGTGAAGTTTATCTAAGACTTCTCACCCTAAACGCGTTCTATAAATTGCAATAAGCACGTTTAGGAATTCTACGAAGTCCTTGGAATGCCTCTGGCGGCTGAAGGACGTGAGATGTACGCAAGGAGTAGGCACTTGCGAACAGTCGCTTACAGCGTTCGCAACTTACAGGCTTCATAAAACAAGATTACAGGGAATAAAATAACCGACAAGTGAGTCTGCATTCTACCATCATGGACGAGAGTCCTTCTTGAGAAACTAATAGTGGCTCTGCTAGTCAGGACAATCATGTTTTTTTTTTTTACAGAAACTGAAGGTTCATTACAAAAGAGTTTTCAGAAGGTAAAGGGCAATTGTGTTTTCCTTTTGTTCATGGTTTAATTTCAATGAGCCAAAAAATGTATAAATAACAAATAATTGCATTCTAAAACCAAACACAAATGAAGATTTTGAAATTTTCGTTTAATTAAAATACGCACATAGTCAGTCGGTCTGAAACATCTTTGAGAATAGAACATTCATAATAAACACACCTGAGTTTCGCAAGAATGTTTTAATTTAAGAGTAATTTTAGGAAATTCTCCTTATTTTACAGAGAAACAAATGTAAACTGTCCATTTGATTCGAAGATAATCACTTCATTTGTTGCTACTCACGGTTATCAGACATAAGTGCTCGCAACGCCCTACAAAAAGTGCTCAGGACCAAGAGTATTGAAATGAGCACACAGAGAGCTGTCACTTAGCGAGGAAATCTGCGGTTCCTACAGCTCACTTTGTGCTCTTCTGGTAGTAACAGCCTCAGGATATAAGCAGCACGTTTCTCTGAAACATCAGCACCTAACTGCCGTCTTACGCGGCTGCACTAATGGGGGTGAGAACTCAAAATCTCACTAGAGAAATAGGGTTTAGAGAATGAATGGGATTAAACTGACACAGGATTCTCTTCAGTTTTACTGATGTTAACTCACTAAATCACCAACTAACTCCATGGAGCAGAATCATTCTTAAGGAACTAAAAGTTCTTCAGTTAGTCAAGAAATTCCCAAATCTGAAAGAGCGTTATCTTCTTCACAGCGGCCGGACACTTGTTCCTATCCTGAGCAAGGTAAATCCAGTCCACAGCTTTCCATCTTATGCCTTTAAAATCCATTTTAATATTATTGTAACAATACCCTTAGGTCTTCCTTCAGGGTTTCCAGCCAAATCTTTGAATGCGTTTATTCTCCCTTGCGTGGTTCCCGGAGGTTCTCCTCATGTCATTTTTTATTTGCTCAATTAATGGTATTGAACATTACAAAATAATTAGTTACTTACTTACCTTTTCGGAGGCACGGGGTAGCGTATTTGGTTGAGGCACTAGGCTACAAGCCGGAAGGTCGCGGGTTCGATCCCCGAGGTCATTTAATTTTTCAATTGACCTAATCCTTCCATCCGCACTGTGGCCCTGGGGTCGACTCATACTTTAACAGGAATGAGTATCAGGAATCTTCCTGGGAGTTAAGGTCGGCCGGCGCGTAAGGCTGATCCAATTGTCTAGAGAAAATGTGGGAGTCTCGACGTCTCACAACGCTATGGGCCTTCACGGCCTGTTACTTACCTTTTCAGTTTGTTAGCTATTCGCTTAGCTAGCCGTATCCTTTATTGCTTACTTCAAATATTAAAATCCATTTAGTTTTGCGGTACACACCGTCATCACTGTGAAGGCAGCGAAACACAGCCCAACGGCCACGAATATAAAAGGTCCGAGTATTACGAGATAGAATGTGTCCTCCAAGACGCTCATGAACCTGTAGTGAATAGAATGTCAAATATTTATGACGTTATTTACTCTGTTTCTTCCTTAGTGAGATATATTTATTAGCGAAATGTAGGCCTAATTAGCTGATATTTTTATGGAAGGATTGCATTAAGTCCCTGGGCTTATTACATTTGGCGAATGAAAATGCATTTTATTTTATTGCTCATTCAGTTAATTCCAGATCATTCACACCCGCACACCCTCTGGCCTTCACACCCGCACACCCTCTGACCTTCACACCCGCACACCCTCTGGCCTTCACACCCGCACACCCACTGTCTTGTTTGGGCACAGAATATTATCAGTCCTATATGTTAGAAATCAGTATAGAGCAAATATACAATTTTACTACAGTGTTCTGCGCATCGTCTATCCGCAAAAGTAGGCACTAACTTCGCCGACAAGCGGCGACTCGCTCGGTCGGTATACTTCGCTTGCGGAATACAGGCCACGGAGTTATATTCTTTGAACATCGAGATGACAAAGCAGCCAAGGTTTCGCAGAAACCCGCTGCCAACATGGCGTAGGAAGTTTCATGTAAGAGAACAACCAGTAACACACTGTAATTTGTTGGCCGTGAACAAAGTCAACGGTCATTATCGGTTACTGGTCAGAAAGTTGTGGTGTGGCGATGTGGAATTGTCACTAATCCAAGATGCTGTCACAAGCTCAGACAGTAAAGCAAAGGTAAAACTGTCCCTGTGCTTAACTAATCAGGCACTACGCCATTAAGGCGTATCGGGGATTGGATGTATAGGTCCGCATTTTCTTGACCTCGACACTAGCTGGAGGTGAGTGGTTAGTTTCACGACCGATCCACTTAACCCCCGGGGAAAGAGTCACCTGTACCCACTGGAGAGGACGTGGAGAAGAGTAACTTTTTTACCCTACTGGGACTCGAACACCGACACCTGGAATTCCAGCCAGCAGCCAGTCGCTATACCGACTACGCTGTTGCGGCTCATAGCCCAGACCGTATAGAGTCGAAGGGTAGGACGACTGTTGAAATAAGAATTCGAAGGGATGTGGGCTTATCTCAAGGCCCTCTTTCGGCATTTTCATGGAGGGCGTGAAGGAACACGCTAAACTTCACTCATGCCGATATTGGAACCGGGAACCTCTGGAATATAAGCCAGAAATATTATCTCCTGAATAAAGTTTCTCAGTTCAACTGATGTTGCTGCCAGTTCTTGTATACATCGATAGTTACCAAAAGGTGCTGGATTCTAACTAACAGTTGCCAAAAATCTCGAAAAATTGATCAGTTTGTCAGTATAATAAGCCACAAGAAGAAGGAAATAAAACCATATAAGATTTGAGATTTTCACGGCGGTGACTACGAAACTCCGAAACGTCGGTTAACACAAAATTTACAGAGCGCCACATCCCAGAAGACGGTATTCTTCGAAGTAAAACCAACTTACGAAAAGTCATATAAATCTAATATTCATGAAATAATTCCCAATATAATTGTGCAGTTTCAAAATTCGCAAATAATATATTTAAAATATATCTGTATACACGTATGTCTTCTACCTCTAGGTGTCGAGTTTTGTAATTAATGTTCCATTTTCTGTCATTACTAAGCAAATCGCATTATATTAATTATTGTCTCACCTCAAGACTTTCTGATGATGTCGTACGCACTGAGCCAGACGGTCTTTCATGACTGATTCTGGCTCTTCCTCCCTCTGCTTCATGTCTAGTAATGCGGTCTGGATCTTCTCCAGTTGGATGCAGCATGCAATCACCATTACTGAATACAGACTCAGCGTCCCACAAAACGCGAGAGAGCAGAACCAATTAGTGACCAACTGCACAATAAACTTTTGAAGATAGATGGCCGCTCCTGTTTCCTAGAAATTCTTGTTGTAAATTTTTTGGAAAATGTCTCATTTTCCAATGGAAATCTTTCCCTTAATATTTTTTTTCGGATACATAAAACATATATACAACGTTTAGGAGGGTGGCTTTACCACCGTCCTCTGTTTGAAAGCAGGGACGCCTCTGTGAGGTCCTGCTACCAAAATGGAGTCTTGCCTGTACCTATTCGTTTAACCTGAGGACTGAAGCAAGGCTAGATTCTGTGAAATGTGTTTATCCAGATATCGGGCAATAACCAAATATCATGGACGTTGAACATATACAATTCTTACCGTCAACGCAATAATACTTTATTATTTATTTATTTATACAACAACCACTACATGTTTCGACCTCAAATGGGTAATCTTCAGGTGCTGCAAGTTTCTCACATACTACTACCGAACCGAATTCCTATTTTTCTAAACGGTTCGTACAAATTAGTTCCTATTCAATTCACAAACTTCACAAAACTTAGACTATATTTTGATTAGAATTAACAATAAAATAAGAATAAAAATAAAAATATAGTGTGTGCTATATAAATAAATAATAAATTATTGTTTTGTTGACGATAATAATTATATTTGTTCATCGTACATACGTAACAGGAAGCAATCCTTAAAAATATCATGGACGTTGCTCTACTATCAAAACGAATTTAGACTGCTACAATTAATAAGCTATTATTCTAATAAAAACTGCTGTAAAGTTGTAGCTAATATTGAGAATCTGAGAGTAACACAGCCAGTCAAGAAATTCTCCGCCGCTTTTGTAACCTGCAACTTTATTACAGTGTTGACAGTAACCCATATTGAACTCTATTTTGGCGAAACTTCAATACCAGTAACGAAAAGTCGAACTTAATCTTGCTTTTATGAAAGAAGAAAGTGCATGAATCAGTTCTGGAAGTTACCGCGATTAAGTTACATTTTACCTGTATGATCAATATGAAGACATAAGACAAATTGCTTTTCTGGCCAAAGGGAATCCAAGTGTTGAAGAAGAGGGTGCTGTTGTTGGTTAATATGCGAAGAATCCAGTAGGACACGTGGCTAACAATGAGCGTTATATTTGCTCTGTAAGCTATTATCTGTATGCGGGAAATCCAGCCAGCCTTCGTGTTTGTGTCAGCCACGTCGGACCAGGTGAAGTTCTTTAAAATGCTCAGCAATTCTCGAACTCCTTGCTTCTTGAAACTGAAACAGGGTGATATTGTACACACAGACTAGCAGCCACAGTACTAATTGCAACCGATCACTTTATTTGGACGTTTATTTTCTTTTTCTAAATTTAATTAATCTCAAATCCACTGTATTTGTAAACCCTTACAATTTCATCAACTAATTTCCTATTTGCCTGAAAGCAGACCTACCATCGCATATCAGATTTACATAAATCATAAACATAAGCATCCTTATTGTTTTATTAAACGTGTATATAACGTTTGTATATGGCACTGCAATGGCAACCGACTAAGTGCTTTTATTTTCTAGAAGCACTCGCGACGTGTCTGTATCAATGATTAATCATCATAAAGTGAACATCTTTTAATGAGACACAGTACTATATCGCACATAGCTAATTTCCTTGCGGTTTAAGTTGGATTAAATTCAAATAATTTTCTTTGCCTATGTCATACATAAACATTTTAAAGTGTGTTAGTGAATTTCTGGACGTAACTAGAATATGTAGTGAGGTGGGTTCAATATTTTCATTGGATTTGTAGACAACTTACAAAGCAAGGAAATTAGCAATATGCAATTCAATACGTTTTTCTCATAAATGTTCACTTGATGATGATGATGATGATGATGATCAATAATTTATCGAAACATGTTCTGAGTTTAAAAAGTAAAAACAATTAACTGGTTACTAGTGACTTCTCATCTATGAATGTTGTATAGGTAAAGGGGGGGAGAAGGCAAAGCTATCCCTGGAACAGCCTGCGGAGACCCTTAGGGTTGTGAGACGTCGAGGTTCCCACTTTTTCTGGATAATCGGGTCACAGATGGCAGTAAGGTTGTCAATCTTATACGCCAACTGCCCTTTAACTCCAGGACGATTCCTGGTACTCATTTCTTTTAGAGGCTGAGTCGACCCCAGGGCCATAGTGCGGTTGGAAGGATTAGGTCAATTGAAAAATCCAGTGACTTCATCGGGAACAGAACCCGCGACCTTCCGGCCTGTAGCACAGTGCCTCAGCCAACTACGCTACCGCAAACGAATTTAGTGTAAAACGGTTAATAAAACGATAAGGACATGATACTTTAAAGGATTACGAAACTGGGTACCTGATGAAGAAATGCATCCAAATGACAGAACACATGGATAATAGCGGTCGAACAGCCTCCATGATGTACGATACGTCATGCAGGTTCTTCAGTATACCCATGACGACGAAGACTTGTGTGAGGTAACTACACGCCACGAGAAGAACGCAGTACATGTCGTAAAGTCGTGACCCTTTAACTGGAACTAATGGACAGGCTACCCACATAAATAACCACTGTATAATGCGAAATCTGTCATCACCCTTGTCCTTTCCGTTTATTGCAGTGTTGTCTGCCATGACAGATGTGACAGGAACGTGACGCAGTGTCAGTCCTTGTCAAACCTAGAACACAATGGGACAAGAAAACTTCCACCAGTAACTCAGCTCTGTTCATTAATTCATAGCACTTTGAATTCTTGCAAAAGAAAATACGCAGTTAGTGCTAAATTTTACTGAAAGTCTCTATATATGAATAAATTCCAACTAACTTATAAATCGGTCTGCAATTTTAAAATGAATTTTACATGTTACTTTTAAAAACGTGAGCCTACATAACTAATGATATTTAGTTAAGTTTCTCTACAACTGACAAAATTTCTTACTGAATATTGCGGTATGGTACCTACCATTCTGGCTTCTATTTTCGCAATACTGAGTTCGAGTCTCGGCCCATAGACCGGGGTTCATGACTGAAAGTTTTGTAGCTTTCCTCATTCTCGTCAGGAAAATCCTGAAATAACTCCTAATATAGGCCAGGGCCGTTTTAGTCCAGGTGCTTCTCAATTCATAATTCTTAATCGTCCCATCCCTTGACGCCATGTTAATAAATCAGTTGCAAAATTGTGTGTAAAACCCTGAAAAACATATAAAAACTGAATCATTGTTACGCACATCTGCTGGACCTCCTATTAGTAATGGCATCTAGTAGCAGTAGTACTCAGTCAGTATGAAGCTATATACACGAATCATAACCTTAGTTCCTATTGGTATATGTCGTTGCCTTCATTTGAAATTTGTAGGGCCATTCTTCCAAAGTTAGAGAAATTCATCAGAATATTATTCGTACGGAAGACAAAATGCATCTTCATCACACAGAAAAACTGTTCATAATGATCAGAGAGACAATTATCGCTTACTGTGAGAACTGTACGAAACACCAATAGTCTGCGTGGGCAAAACGTAGAGTTTCTTAGATGTAAAGCAGTTGGTATAGATAGTTAACATAAGTGCGTCAGAAGTTTAAGTAAGACTTTCATAATTTCAGCATAGTGCAAGATTTGTTCCATGTCCAACCTGTTGATGAGTAATGATTTATTTTGTGTTGTAAGAAAACGGATTTACGTTGACACTCATGAGTGTTCGTGATATTTTTAAACAACTTTGAAAAATTTTCAGAGGTTTATAAGGTTTGCTACTCTCCCAGTTAACAAAGGATTTACGTTAAGAATCACTGCAAACTCCTTTCTGGTCGTCTCCTCTTTTTCGGTTCCCCATTTCTTTTGGCGCAGGGAAGCAGTGGATGTGATCGCCTTCGAACTCGCGTTGGATGCCCTCAGTGTTCCTATTGCATATATTGGGATTTTTTGTTCCTTTAATGGTTGTCCTGGGGTGTAATTTTGTGTCTAAAATGATTTACAGTTGATGACACCTCTATTGTATAAAGAAGAGCATGTGTGTAATTGTTTGTTGTGTGTACGCGTACATTTCCACGCCATTGTGGTATTCTGCTTCGATAGACATGGAGAATCGCAAAGAACTCCTAACTTACTCCGTATGCCTATCTGTTATACTTTTTCTGATATTTAATTCCCAAATTTCCGAACATAAACCGCATTATTTGGAAATTCGCAAAAAGGCCAGGACTTGCATTGTAATGGAACAGCCAACTTCTCTCAAATTCTGTTACTTTATATTAATGTCATTCAGATCAAGGGGCACGCGGTAGCGTAGTTGGTTGAGGCACTATGATACAAGCCGGAAGGTTGCGGGTTCGAGACCAGATAAGGTGGATTTTATTCAGTTTACTTAATCTTTCCAGCAGCACTATGGCCCTGGGGTCGACTCAGCCTCTTAACAGAAAACAGTACCACGAATCTTCCTGAGGGGTAAAGGGCGGTCGGCTCGTAAGGCTGACAATCTTACCGCCATCTGTGAGCCAATTGTCTAGAAAATAAGATCTAAAAGTTTGTGACGACGGCACATTAGCACAAATATTATGTTTTTGGACATTATCCATCGTCTTGTCTTTATCTAAAAACCGTCCTGTTTATATTTCAAAACATAACGTTTCGGAGACTGGATTTTGTCTCCGTCTTCAGATGAAACCTACCCAGCTGGGCACAATTGATAGAGCTAGTCCCTGTCTCCGGACACCTGTGCCAGCTTCAAGAAGGGATACAAAAATCAAACACAGCACAAATCATCTGCGAGAGCTAAGAAAACATTAAATTATTGAAACTCCACACTATGAGGCCTTGTACCAGAGAAGAATCTCGATTGAAATCATCGTTGGAGAGAAGCAATACTTCTTACGGTACCAACACAATGGAAACAAAGTTTTTTCACTGCAACTACACTTGACCACTTTGTACTCTCTTGACGTCTGCTGTGATAACGGGAGTCCAGATGGGGAGATGTCCAAACTGGATTGACTGATCGGATGGTCCAGCAGAGATATGTGGGCTGATTCCTTGTATTTTCTGTATGTTGGGCTCAATCTACAAGACCTTCACCTGATTGATACTTATGCTCCCTGATCTTAATATATGACAATTATACACAAATTGTATGATGATAATTCAGTTCCTTTATTTGAGTAGCTTGTAATAGGCGAGCACTGTAAATATGCACAATAATGATAATGATGATAATAATAATAATAATAATAATAATAATAATTAATTTCTTTAAGTGCTTTGTAAAGGCGAGTAGCCTACAACAGGCGAGCGCTGAATGCATACGAAACTAAAGCCAGACTAACAACTAGAATAAGAATTAAACACTGAAAACTGAAACAAAACAGACAGCACGAGAATATAGTAACAGGAGCCGTGAACTAAGTAGGGTTCAGTACAGGGAAATGTAACTCTGAAAAGAAGGCCGCGCCATAGCTCAAGCGGTTAGTCCCCGGCTTCCCACCGCGGCGACCCAGGTTCGAGCCCGTGTCTGGCCAAGTGGGATTTGTTGTGGACAAAGTGGCGCTGAGGCAGGTTTTCTCCGAATAGTTTGGTTTCCTCTGCCAATCTTCATTCGAGGAAATTCTCCATCATCATAATCACCCGGAGCAGGTACAATAGGCCAATCAGTGGCCGACGTGCCGAGTGGACCCCGTTGGACTCCACTCCGCACTATGTGAATTAAAAAAAATCTCTAAAGAGACGGTGTTTTGACTATAAAAATGTCTGGAGATTTGCAAATGCTATATGCAGCTGTGACGCTCTTTGATGAGGATCTATGGTAGGCCGCACACCGGCTTGCTACAAGACATGTAACAGTCAAGACACGATGTCTGCGACATCAGGCAAAGAAAGAGTATAGTTGAAACGAATGAGGTTATGAAACCCGCCGCACACCGGTCTGAGTCATGACGTTTCACCTGTGCTCCTTTCTTTGCATCATGTCGCAGACATTGTGTCTTGACTGTTACGTGTCTTGACGCATGCCGGTGTGCGGCCTACCTTAGTCTTGAGACATTACTCACACTAAAGCTTTCTGAGTGCATTGAGCCCGATAATATCCATGAGGGAGCAATGGCTGATTTTATTCATGAGAACATTAACAAGAAATAAAGCATCAAGATAAAGTGTTCTGAAATTTAAATAAATCAAAATTGATGTATAATTGCGAAGAAAATTGGACTGAATAAATCGACTGCAGCATGAATTTGCGAACTTTCTTTGTACGTTTTCCACTTTATTAGAACCTGAGAAGTAAATATAATTCAATTCAATTCTTTATTATTTATATGCCGAGTCAACAGCCGCAAGGCCAAATACTGACAGAGCACAGGGTAGATACAAATAATTACATTATGGACAAACACTATATAAAGTCAAAGACAAATTACAGGCAAGCACTCGAGGAAAAACGCATTACTGCAGACAAGTAAACAAACAAAGAAATGATAATAATAGTAATAATAATTTCATTAACATAAATCTAAATCCATGATCTATTCTGACCGTCTTACAGTGCATACATTTATTCACCTTACTCTTCTCTCTTGCACTACATGTTTCAGCACAAAAGTGCTATCTTCAGGTACTTTTCTATGTACGTTGAACTACTTTATTGCATGCCCTGTTGTCTTTGTACTAAAATATATACACGTCATATATACTGATAAATTTTAAAAATTAATTAAAAATATTAAAACTGTTCAGGATTTGTCATCCTTGTGTCGTATCTCAATACGCGAGTGCAAGAGAGGAGAGTAAGGTGAATAAATGTATGCACTGTAAGACGGTCAGAATAAATCATGGACATAAATCAGTGCAACAGGACGCTAAAGTATAACATTATAAATCTAAATGTTATTGAGAACTGAGAAATTAAACGTATAGATTTTCAGAGAGGATAATAATAATAATAATTCAGTTTAATTGTTGTTTATTGTACATGCAAATAATAATACTAACAATTACATACTATATTTAAAAATCGTTTGGGGAGAACTTTCCTGGCTCCGAATACGTCAACATCCCTGCATATGACATTAGCAGCTGCTGCACATCTAATAATAATAATTTTAAAATTTTAAGCAATAAAGAAAAGAGCTGGCTGGAATAGGAATCTATTCTACGACAATCAGCTCACAAGCGAACACGCAAACCCATCACATAATCTGCATTTTATGATCTTTTCTTTATTGCTAGTGGGGTGGGACTAAGTCCCTTGTACTGCGGCCTCTTCTGGCCTATTTTACCAGCCCCAGATGATAGGTGAGGGTGATTGTGGAGCAATTGGTGGAATTAAGATTGGCAGGGGAAACCGAAGTTGCCCCAGCGCCACTTTGTCCACCACAAATCCCACTTGACCAGACCCGGGATCGAACCCGGGCCGCCGCGGTGGAAGCCAGTGACTAACCGTTTGAGATATGGCGCGGCCCATTTTTTGATCTCAGTATAATATTAGTAATACTAGATTTGTAGGGACAGAAATCTGAACAGAACGCTTGTGAATTCTGTACGAACTCCTTGTTATGGCCATGTGCAATGACAATACAGCGACTGCGCGGATTTCCTGTTTGATTGCCGACCGATGGAATAATAAACCAGAATGCGAAATTCTGTAAATTTACGCTCGTAGACTGCTAACATGCCTACGGAATGTAGTATGTGACATTTTTGTGCATCAATATTGTACATCAGTGGCAACGGTGTGGACTTCGAAGTTATAACTTTCAACATTCAGAAAGCGGTGAAGTGTTAGGCGAAATTTATCCCGGTCAAATTATTAATGTGTAAGCTACGCCATCTTCTCTCTACAGTCTGAGTCATTTTAATGTAAGGTAAACGTTACGAATCCTTCATTTAGCTACTTTTTAATCTTCAACTTTCTACGAGTAAGATCTGTACATCCACCCCTTCATAGGCTTAGTGCTTAATTAGTTAAGCACAGGGACAACTTCACCTTTACAGTCTACGAGTATATATGACTAATGTCTACCGCTGCTTGTTACTGAGTACAGTGATAATCCTTGTAAGATATGGATGGACATTCTTTTAAGTTTTAATTAATTAATTTCAGTTGTTAATGTAAATGTAAGCAAATATCTCTACTAACTTTAATTTTATGGGATTAAACCCGACGCACTATAAAGTGCTATTCTCGTAATAAGAAACTTTCCTTTGTGGAGTACTTAGAGAAAATTAGTAGTTTGAAACAAACGTTGGCTACTTTATTATTCGTGAAATATATCTGTCGAAACTTCTCTTATTCTTGACATAAGGCCACCCAACGAAGTTTTGTATATACAAATTCATGTGTATACTTTAAGTGAAGGGAAAATTATACTCTGTGACTCCTGCTTGAGCCTCAGTGCCTCCTCTCGAGTCCTTGACTTCTCTCGCCAACTGCGCACATTGCACCTGCATCTTTAAAACGCCATCTGGACTTTGTTTATAATTCCTGCGATGTTCACACAACGTGTGGAAAACTGAACTTCTTCAAAGAAAAATATTTAGGGGAGAGAATTAAATTAAGAATTATTAATAGAGTTATTCAGGTCCAGGTTCTCAAATTTTTAAATTTTAAAGTGGATTGCATTTCTTCTTCCCTGAATATTTAAAGGTTTCTCTATTGAAAAGTAATAGCAACTCAAACGAGTGACACGGTTCACATGCAACTGGCAACAAATGCGAAAGAACATCTGGTTACATATTGATTCCTTTCCTAGATATTCATTTATTCCTACGCTCCAAAACTAAGCAACTAGGAGAGGCATGTCAAACTCAACTTGTACAGAGGGCCACTTCAGCCCTATAAACAATAGTCCAGGGCCGCACTTCAAAATAGAAATATACATTAGATTTTGATACAAGGAAATTTAATTCTATTTATTATTTAGGAATAATTTCAATATAATTACCTAAAGTCACATATCTTACAGTTTTAAAAAGCAAGAGAATGCCATTTTTGACAAGTATCAAACAGCTTTTCAATAGGTAACAAGAGAGATTACACAAGAAGTTATGTTAGAAATAGCAAAACATTGAATTTCCTGCATCCTGCTAATTTATGTCTGCTTGAGACTTTTTGTCTTCTGGTCTTTTGGAAAATTGTCTTTACAAAAAATATTTCTACTAAAATTTTGATATTGATTTTAATATCAATTAGCTCTAAAAGTTGAGGGGCCGCACTTTGTGGCTATGGGGGCCGCATGTTTGACACGGCTGAACTAGGATATTAAAATTGTCTTCTGGCATATGACGCAGTGTAATTCGGCAGATCGAATATTAATGGGCATATCACTATGTCAATAGGTCTGGCGACTGATGCATTATAATTTATTGTACCATTTTTTTTTATATTTTATAATCTGACCTGTTTTATATTGGCATGAAACTTCGTGTCTGCGACAGAAGAGCATACACTGAAAGTGTCTGAAAGCGAAGTGCCGAGGAGAATATTTCGACTGAAGAGAAAGTAAAAAGCGCATGGGGAAAATTAAACAAGGGGGAATTTCATAATTTGCAAAAATACTATTACGGTCGTCAAATCAAGGAGGGTAAGATGGGAAAGATATATTGCACGCAAAGACGGAATGATCAACAGGCACAAGAATTTAGCCGAAAAAAAGGTCTTTAGGGAGACAAGGGCATAGACGGGACAACAATATTAAAATAAATGTTAAAGAAATAGATTGAGGTGTGGAATGGATTCATCTGGCTCAGATCAGTGTCAAGTTGCAGATTCCTGTGACCATATGATGAATACTTGGAGTTCATATAAGGTGGGAAAGGCTTTGGTAAATAAAATGACCGTTACCTTCTGAAGAAGAACTCTGTTGCATGCAGTTTGCCATATAAGAGTCAATTTTTATAATGTTAAAAGAGACACATGCGTGGTGGTGGTAAGAGTAGATCTGTAATATGTTCTTCATGCTATAAAATGTGAGGCGAGAGGGTGCCGTACTTTGGATAACGTCAGGTGCCTATTGGAGGGCCACATGTAAAAGGTCGATTATAGCGTTCCATGGATCAGAACACGTGGGTTGGAGAACTACTGTAATGACGACCCTTGACAGCATTAATGAACATTAGGATAATGCAGGATTTGAGGTTCTCACAGCGGTGTAGCTTCCGGACTATAAAGCCGTGTAGTCCGCTGAAAGCCAATAGACGTTTCGAGGGAACACATGGCCCCCAAGATACAGCGTGAAAGCAGGTGGCCATGGCGTTATATCGCAGAAGATGCTTCTCTTCATCAGGATACTGTTTCTGTATTGATATTTAAGGGTCAGCACTTTTGTTACAAGATTATCACTTTGAGTTTATTATCCTTTGCACCGCGGGTACGCGGTAGCGTAGTGATTAAGGTATACTATGCTACAAGCCGGAAGGTCGCGGGTTCAAGTACCGATGAGGCCATTGGATTTTTTCAATTGATCTAATCCTTCCGGCCGCACTAGGCCCTGGGGTTTACTCATCCTCTAACAGAAATAAGTACCAGGAATTAATTAAATAATTTTCCTGGGGAGTAAAGCGCGACCGGCGCGTAAGGCTGACAACCTTACCGCCATCTTTGAGCCGATTGTCAAGGTAATGTGGGACCCTCAACGTCTCACAACCCTATGGGCCTTCACGGCCTGTTACAGGGATAGCTTTACTTTTTTTTACCGCATAAAAATAAGCGTTTGCATATCATAATAATTGTCTAGGAGCTGGGATAGCGTAGTCGGTATAGCGACTTGCTACGGGCTGGACGACCGAGGGGTCGGAGTTCGAGACCCGGTAGAGTAAAGAATTTTCTCTTCTCCACGCCGTCCAGACCGGCTCTGGGGTCCATCCAACCTCCTATTCAACTGGTACCGGGAGATCTTTCCCCAGGGATGAAGCGGCAGGGGGCAGCTAGTGTCGAGGTCAAGAAAATGTGGATCTATACATCCACTAACCCATACGACTTCATGGCGTAGTGTTTAATTAGTTAAGCACAGGGACAACTTTAGTTATATAATGATTGTCTATGGCCCCAAAGAAATGTACATCCAAAATACCGAGACCAGTGGTGTGAATGGAATCATGAAAGCAGCGTACTCTGTAACCAGTGTATGTCATGTACCTTGTGCAGGCAACCTTACGGAATAAAATTCCTGTGTATGTATGTTTGAATTTCGCACCGAAGAACAGTGTGAAAGGTGTGGAAAATGAAATATAACTTTATAATGATGATGTAACGGTCAGCGTCAATACCGGATTGATGACCTTCTCTCGTTCCTACACTAGACGGAATATACCTAGACACTGGACAGGCCAGTGGCGCTAGGAATTAAGCCACACTACACGCGGAGTGGGCCATTGGCGCAAATGGAAACAAACCCACATAAGTATTTTTTATCAGTGGCGTGAAGGGAACCACATCTAATCACATACAGTATTATGCTGTATAACTTGAGGAATGGATTATGGAACTTGGTGATATTGGGAAATATCTAGATCAGGGCTGTCCAACTGGGTGCACATGTGCAATAAAAAGCCCGCAAGATTAGTATTCCATTTTTCAAAAACATCGTGTAACGTTTTCTTGCTGTTTGAAAAAGAAGAGTGATGTTGTCGAGGGCTTTAATAAAAAAGAGCTTACTACATACTCTGCGTAATGTTTAAGATATTTGACAGGACACGTAGGAAATAACCCAGAAAAGCATGGAATTAGCATGACTCAATGACAGTAAGAGACATCGATACCATCTAGCAAACCTTCAGCACCTCATTCTTAAGCACCAGCCACCTCATGCCATTTAACTTATATATTTGTTGTTCGAGTCTTATGACTACAACTCTTCGTAGTATGGTTGGCCTTACAGACCTGATAATTGCAAGGCAGATATTTATAATAGCATAGTGGAAATAATAGGTACCAAAGTTACAATGCCTGCCATCAATGGCTTGAAGTTGGACAGCTCTGTACTCAGAATTATAAATAAACTTGAAAATTCTGCTTAAAAATTACAACTTAAGCCCATATATTGCCACATCATTAACGAGATCTTTACAACATATAACAAAACAATGATCAGTTTTCAAAAAGAGCAGCAAACACAGTATGTATCTCTTCCAACATATCTGTTGCTAGAGCGCTGCGGCCCTTCTTGGCAACGGCTCGTTGGTTGCACTCCCTGGTGAGCCGACATGCAGCATACGCGGCAACAACCTGTGGTGGAATACCGGAAACACCTTCATGCCGGTCACGAGCAGCCTCTGCGGCCGCCCAACAATAGAATGTACCTAGGGCCCCCGATAATATGTCACCTTGGCCACCACAACGCCGACCAGAACCTCCGGCCGTACACTTGACCACAGCATCACCATCTGAGCCAGTGGAAATTACGTCCGAAGCGCCTTTGTGTACTACTACAGTTTTAGTTCCCAGAGCCACCGCTAGAGACTTCACATGTTCAGGGTTTGGATTTGGCGTTGGGTCCCACTGCTTATCAAGCACCGCCTTCGCCAATCTACTAAATTCGATGGCATTCGGCGTCAATATGACGCCTGAAGGATAATTTCGAATTACTTCTGGATTCTCGGTGACCATGAATAAACCATCTGCATCGATTACAAGCGGTTTTCCATAACCTGGTAGGTATCTGCAAAACTGTATGAGGCTGCTAACAGTCTTCAGAATTCCTGGCTCCCTTCCAAGACCTGGGCCAATAATCAATATGTGGAGGCGTGGCAACCACGGTTTTATAAGTTCCAAAGCATCTTCAGCGTCCAGGATTGGATGGACGATCAGTTCTGGGCTGTATGATTTGATAACCGGTGCTGCGTTTAATGGGCAGAACACATGAGACAGATCGCAACCAACCTTCAATGCAGAAATAGCAGAGAAGTATGGAGCCCCTGTATACTCGAGCGAGCCACCGACGACACCTATACGTCCCGCTTTCCCTTTGTACAAAATATTTTCCATTGGTGGTACCAGCATTCTTGATTCCTTCAAGAGCTGAGCTTCCATCTGCGAAATATCCACATCACACATTTCTGTTGTTACTGTAAGTTGTAGTCTACTAGTGTATAACGTGCAACTCTGTATAATCTTCTTAAATATAGGCCTATAATATGTAAACATGGATTGCCTCTGACTTCAGCTCTGAAATGAACCATAAAATGTATAACCTACAACAAAATGTTGCACACACAGCATTTATTCTAGCATCGTAAGTTCATACTACACTTTAGATAATACAAACCCACCTTCCTTTTGGTAGTTAAGACTTTACTTTCAGCTTCAATACGAAAAATTTCCTACTCCTCCATGCCAACCTCACTTTTCGCAATTCATCATTCGACACAACACGAAAATGACATGAGACATTTGTACCCACCGAACGTCACACCGGTCCGATCGGTCCGATCACCCAATGTCCCAATGTGAAGCGACCATGGACGTAACATCCAATCCGAAGCGGGCATGGCTACGCCAGGCAGGTATGAATCTACCATCTGTTGGCAGCGTATGAAACCAACATTATACTCTGCACCTAGCATAGTGCCTGGGCAATAACGGAATGCAAGGGTCAGTATCGATCAGTATCTCGCTGAGAAGCGCGCTGTTCGAGTAGGGAAACGACGGAAAGTTTAAAAAACCACACCAAAAACATGATTTTAGAGAATAGCAAGAGCTTCAGGACATTGAAGTAAATCATCGTACTCGTTTGAAGCGGCGATTAGTAGATGCCGAGAACGGCAAGAAAGAAAATGACTATTTGACATCGTTAACTCCAAATCAACGACATTTATATGGCTGCGATTGACGTTATAAAAGTGCGAGCCAACTGACATGGAAGTTTCATCAGAATCGGCCAGAATAGAGCACTACAGTGGCCTATCGAGTATTATCAATATTGGTCAACAAGAGCTCTTTTAAGGACAACACTCAAACGAATTCCTGTAGTAATTTATTAATATATGTAATATATCTAAAGAAATGCACATAAATTAAATTAATTGTAATGCTAATTCTATGAACGAAATATCTCTCTTTTGCGGTGTATTAAATAAAATATTAATAAAACTTAGTCTTTCATTTTAGATTTATAGTATATTGCTGTGTGTTAACTGTTTAGATTTAATCCTATTATATCTGATATTTTGGCTTATCCAGTAGACTAAGACATACGTAATAGAAGCGTCAGACTATGCAATATCTAGTATAAATACAGATTCACTATCGCTGTAAATTCTTCTTTTTCGAATCAATATAGTGGTTATTTGTTTCACATTCATCTGCATGAGACAATAATAATAAGTTGAGTAGTATGCTCCTCCTTCTGTCTGTAAGCGTTCTTCCAGTAATTAATTTAACATTATTAAAGAACCTGTAAAGGAATACATTTACCTGATAATTTGTGTGAGTACAAAGCCTGATTTGTCACTCTGAAGGAAGAACGATATTTGTGGTACATAAAGAGCTCCTATGTAAGACAGAAGTAACATGAAGTTTGAAAAAATTGCATTAGGAGCTTCATACTGTCCATCACATGTTATTAGAATAACCAAAGTAAGGAGGATGAGATGTGAGGGAGGGATGTAGCATAAATAGGATAGATTGTAAATGCATACAACATTTTAGTGGAAAAAAGAATAGGCTGGTACACTTTGGGAGAGCAAGATTTAGATGGAGGGATGCCATTAAAATGGATCTTAAGGCCGTGCCATAGCTTAAGCGGGTAGTCGCTGGCTTCCCATCGCGGTGGCCCGGGTTCGATCCCGTGTCTGGTCAAGTGGGATTTGTGGTGGACAAAGTGGCGCTGGGGCGGGTTTTCTCCGAGTACGTCGGTTTCTCTTGCCAATCTTCATTCCACCAAATTCTCCATCATTATAATCACCCTGGGCAGGCTACAATAGGCCAATCAGTGGCCGCCGTGCCGAGTGGACCCAGTGCGACTCCACCCCCTCAGTAAGCAAATTAAAAAAAATGGATCTTACATATGGATGTGATGTGTACTATATTCATCTGGCCGAGGACATGAACCAGTAATCATTATCATAGACATGAACCTTCAGATTTCATATAGGGCTGGAAATTCCTTAATAAGTTGGGCACTTATCAGCTTTTCAAGGGCTGTGACATGGATCTTGTTACACGGAAAAGAGTACTGTATATATTTCAATATTCTTGGATGGACTGCATTTGTAATCTTCCTCCCTTCTCAATTTATATTTTTAGTAGTACATAATTGACTGCCTGTGTGGTCTAGAGGTCAGAGTTCCTTACTACATATCCAGAGGTCCCGGGTTCGATTCCCGGCGCTACCAGATTTTCTGAGAAGTAGTGGGCCTGGAAAGGGGTCCACTCAGCCTTGTGAGGATAATTGAGGAGCTATTTCAAGGAAACAGCGACTCTGGTCTAGAAAACCGAGATTAACGGCCATGGGGATGGATTGTGCTGACCACATGACACCCTCTATCCGCAAAAGTTGGCACTAACTTCGCCAACTAGTGGCGGTTGTTCAGTCGGTATAGTTCGCTTGTGGACTACAGGCCACAGAGTTTGTTTTGTACTACATAATTTCTACAGTTTAAAAATGAGTGGAGACTTTTTAACCATCAACCAATATAAAATATAAGCATTGCTAGAAGAAAAGATGAAAAATGGATAGGTAATACAGGACTTAAAATGTTTTACACCTTTCCTGCCCTCCATGGCTTAGGCTCAAGCCTGTTCCAGATTTACAGTCATAGCCACAATATCTCTGAGATTCATCTGTGTTGTAATGTACTGGAAGTTTTGAGAGTACATCTACTTTGATCAAGAGGGTTAACTTTTTCTCTCTGAAAGTATCCTCATCTTCCATTTACAGAACATAAATTTTGTTCCGTCCACATATTTTAATTTTTAATTTTGCTTACTTTGATAACATTATTTGACAGTTCTTAAAACTGAATTTCTGCTCTTTGAATTTTACTAATGAGTCTGTTTGTAACCCCAACCTTAACTTCCATACAGAAGCTTGGTAACTGCCATCACTTTCTCAAATTTCAACTCTCTCCTTCCTCATTTTAATGTTATGTTTATTGTTTCACATCTTTAATGGCATTGTATATTATTATTTTCATCATAACAAACTCCAAAAGAAATGTCTGGTAGTAAATATCTATGGTTCCGTAACTAAATCTGAAAGAATTATTTTGCAGAGCACTGTATATTTTCCTTTCTTTTTCTCTATCATGAATTCATACAAATGAATTAAAGAATTTATTCAGTACAATTCAATGAATCAATTATTTATTTATTTATGTGTTTACTCAGAAATGCCATTTACACACATCACCACATGAAAGACAAACTAATTCTGAAGGGAGAAAAAACACCAACACCTTGTTAATTATGCTGTAAAGAGTAATTCCAGATTTAATTTTACCATATGGCTTCGTCTGACTATGAAAAAAAAAAACGAGTAAAGCAAATGTTCAGCCAGTTACAACACAAGTAGAGGCATTTAAAAATTATATGCTTTTAAAACTTCAGAGATAACTTACAGATACACAAAAGATAAAACTAGCAAGACCTAATATTTAAAAAAATTCCTGTCTTATAACAAGAATTATTGTTTGCAAAGTTATTTTTTAGCTGAGATGTCAGTTATCTGCATATCATATTTTTAAAAGTCTAAAAATTATTACACAGACATGTTTTAGGGCAGTATTAAATGACAATGACTTGCATGAACCTCAGTTCAATGAGACATAGATGTGCCACTAATGTTTAGAGACTATATCTTTTGTCTTATCCTCAATTAGTGTCAGTCTCTCTTCCATGAGAACCATAGATTTTCTCAACATTTCAACCTGACCACAGAGATTTTCCACTGCTGCCAACACATGCTTTGTACGATCATCATTGGTCTCAGGAGATGATGAAATGTTGATGTCATGTGAAGAGGCAGGAACTGGCTGTTGTTTATATTGGCCTCTTGGGACTCTGCTTGTTCCAGCAGATGCCTCCAATGGACTTTCACCAGAATCATTGTAGTTGTAATTCTCCTCACTAACAAGGTCTATTACTTCAGGTGTACTGCAATGAGAAGACTGGTCAGGAACAGTTCTTTCCAAACGAGATGATTCAACTGTTGTTACCTGCAAGAAAAAATGTATATCTGTTTATGACACCCTCACATCCTGATGAGCTCAAGGAAAACTCCCGGTCTCTTGTTTCCTGGGAATAAAGCAGCTGGTAGATGAAGCAGACCACTAACTCCCATCTAATATCAAGATATTTAGGTCTCCTTGTCCTATGCTCCTTCACAGTGCAGTGCATAGGTTCAGGCACAACTTTTATCATTCACACCATTTTCCCATAACATTAACCATGCTACAGTTGTCTCCAGCTTCTCACTGTCCATCTCTGGGTTTAGCCCACATTAAGTTTATTAACAAAGTAACAATGGGAATGGTTTTATTCAAAGCACTTAGTTTTTAAGAAATAATAATTCTGTCAGTTCTCCACACTTATCCATCGCTGTCAGTAAGGTTTCTGACATTAAGGAGGAACTTCTGATAACATGTCAACTGACTACAGCCGGAACTTTAGCAGAAGTTCCTCCATAGTTTAGGCTTCACCTCTCGTAATGCCATAACCAAAGCAAGGACATTTTGGCTCTCTGGCCCCGCCATACACAAAGGTACCTATGGTTTATTCAGATTTTCAACTTTCTGTTACAGAATGTACTAATCTTGTATACTGTTGTCTAGAAGTGTGCGGACAAATATACCACTGATGCCTGTTGTCTAATAAGTATTACACCTGAGACATCTAGTTTCATAGTAGTGCTGTAGAAAGATTGTGTTCTACTTTTAAATGATAAAGGCCTTAAAAGAGTGGGTAAAATTATCTCTGTGCTTTACTAATTAAGCACTATGCCATGAAGATGTATGGGGGAGTGGATGCACAGAGCCATGTATTCTTAACCTCGGCACTAGTTTGAGATAAGCGGTCAGCGTCACACCCCAGCTGCTTTACCCCCTGGGCAGAAGAGACCCTAGTACCCATTTGACATAAGGCTGGGTGGGCCCCAGAACCGGTCTGGATTTTTAAGTCTTAGTTAAATACTGGAATTCCAACTTACATGTATATCATCAGACTGGTTCTCATCCATGACAACATTTCTAGCATCTACTTGAAGTGTGGTTGGAGAGCTCAATTCACTTTTCGATTCTTTCAAATGGGTCTGATGTGGTTGTTGTGGAAATTCTCGCAGCAGATTCTTATTATCAAAATTTGTCTTCCATACTAATATCTGTCAAATAAAAATGAACACACCAATTTTTTCTATAATAAACAAGTAAAAGTACATGTTTGTTACATTCACAATCTTATTTGTGCATCCATTGTTTATCTTCCATCAAAACTGCAACACTTTTTACATTCTACACTTCAACACTACATGTTTCGGCCCCAAATGGCCATCTTCAGGTGTTTCTATGTTACAGATATTTTACTAAAACTGTGTTAGAAACTGCTACACTGTTTTAATTTGTGTTAAAATCACATGCTGTAGTCTTCTTTTTAAGTAAAATGAGATAAAATCTTTTAAAATTTCTGTTGCATATTATTTCACCTCACCCGGGGTGTGGTCATTTTCGTAAATGTATCAAGGTGTTTTTCTCGGCAGCTTGCCCCTCATGTTTGTGGTGTACTTTCAGTTTTTGACTACCATATGCTCCTAGTTTGTGTGTGCTTCCTCCACAGTGTGTGGTGTTGTCTTTACTAGTCTCATGTAGTTATGTATGCCTTTTGTATTACTACTATTTATGATTGACTAGTAAAGACAACACCACACACTGTGGAGGGAAGCACACACAAGACTAGTAAGAGGCAAATGCTGAATTGGCTGAACTCTTCATGTTTGTCTAACTTAATCAGCGCTTGATTTCAGGAAATTAAATTTTGATAATAATTATATAAAGCCACATTACTCCTTGCTTGCGTGAAGAAATTTGTAAAGTTTCACTGCCAATAAGTAAATAATTTATTAATAAGGGAACGTGCTGTTGTGACTGAATTTGAGGACTAGCTTCTGATGTGCAGTTTCCGCTTGCCTAACTTATTGCTGTTATATGACCTGAGTGGAGTCAATTGTTCTACTGAGCTCGCACATAAGTTTCAAATGAGAGGAGGGTGGTAGGGTGGGGGTAGGGACTGAGAGAGAGACCAAGTTTCACACCCACATGTTACAAAATACCAAAAATTATAGTTTAAAAAACAGGGGTCAATGTGACAAAATTATATAATCATCTTACTTGCTATCAGAAAATTCTGCTGTATAGTTGGGAAGCATATAAAATGAAACTATACCAAATATTATTGATTTGCACAAGAAAACTTTAAACATTTATAATGACAATTCTGACTTCTTCAAGGAGTTTTGCTCTGACCTGCTGATCAACCCCACCAGATGCAAAATATTGTCCATTTGCTGAAAATGTCACAGATGTTATGGGTCCCTCATGGCCTTGCAGTGTATAAATTGGACGGCCCTCCAAAAGGTCCATTACCTGATAAAAGAAAAGTCTCTAGCATATATATATTTTAATAAACCTAACAAATGTATGTGCATTACTTCACTTATTCTTCTTGTTTAATTTACATTCTGTTCTTAATAGAAAATGTATCGTGAGATGATAAGTTCTGAATTTAGTGTCTGGAAGAAGTTTCTACAGAATATTAAAGAAACAAAAACAAATAAAATTCAAAACCAAGACATTTAGAAGAGATATAAAAACTCAGACACTACAGAAAAGTTGGCAAACTTCAGGATACATTGGCACTGACAAGTGGGGCATACAGACTATCATATTTTGTGGATTATTTCTTATTTCCTGACTTTAGATGAGTTAATAGATCATTTTAATATATAATATGTAACACTTTATTGTAAAGCAAATCTTTTTTTCTCTTTGGCGCTACAGCCCCAATTTGGGCCTTGGCTTATTTCCATGAAACTCTCCGTTTCACTTCAGTTTATTAGGACTCCTTGGGCAGGTGATCAGCTCATCACAAGGCCTCTACTTGTAGACAAAGAAAGAAAAACGCATGCACACACACACACACTAAACACCCATGCCATGAGTGGGATTCAAACCCACAATCATGGTTTCCAAGCGAGTGAAGACAGTATGTGCCTTATACTGCTCAGCTATCGTGACCGGCAATGCAAATTTTACTTTTCATAAATAAAACTGTCTTCAATCTTTAATTCTATCATACAAGGGCTTGCATTATTTAAAACAACACTGAAAAAAGAAACAAAAGTAACAATAACAGTCCTTTCAGAGCTTAAAAAATGATGTTGAATAAACAACCATTATGGAGACACAGCAAACATCTACAACACAGTGCGAACACAGATACATGAGAAGCACTTACAGAGGGATAAGGCATTGTCATGGGCTTTAGCCATCCTCATGAAAACATTGATGGATGATTTAGTGAATGAAAACTAGAGAAAACCAAAATCTGAAATTATACCATTCTATTTGATTCATACCTTCATGGTGGAATCATTGGATGCTGTAAGCAAATAATTTCCACAGGGATGGAATGCTATTTTGTTGACAGCACCATCATGGTTGCGGTAATATTGCAACAGTTTGTGCATACGGATGTCGTACACTTTCACAACATTGTTTGTCATTGCTGTTCCAATACACGTTCCACTGGGATGAAATTCTACATTCACAGCATTTCCTGTAGGTTAAAAGCTTGAAACAATGATACAAAATACCTTGAAATTCTAAGTTTATTAGCTTCCCTCATATGAATGCTATTCTGTCAGTTTCCAGATATCCCTCAGGAACAGATTAATGAAAGCAAAAGAATAAACTAATCCTACAAATACCACTGATTTCACGATGCAGGGCTTTTCTTAAAAAGTTGACAGTCATTCAGCTGGTTGAGAAGTCTGCTGCTTTTTAATGAATCTGAAAGTGTTAATCAGATCTGAATTCATAACTTAGAATACGGAAATACTTGCCAGTAAAACAAAAATTAACACATAGGTTTATTCCATTTCAGAGGAATTCAGGTGTTGTAATAACTTGAAAAATGGAATTCCAACCTCTTGAAAGTCAAGAAAGCATTACATAAACTCCCACAAGAAACTGTTTACCTTTTAGTTCTTGAAATGTATGTACACACAGGGAGCTGTTGGGGTCATACAAGCGAACTGTTTTATCATCCGAACAAGTAGCAATGAGTTGTCCATCTGGAGCAAACCGAGCACAACGAACCCAGTTGTTATGCCCCTGAAGAGATGAGATGAACTTCCTTCTGGCAACACCCCATATCTTAACACTTTTATCATCTGAGGCTGTCACCAATCGTTGCCCATCTGGTGAGAAATGAATGGATCGAACTGTGCCTGTGTGCGCACGAAATTCTCCAGTCTCCCCTTGAATTGATGGGACCCAGAGACGAACACTTCGGTCCCGTGATACAGATGCTACTAAATGTCCAGATGGAGAGAAACATATATCCATCACCCCATCCTTGTGAGCCTTGAACCTATGGCATTAGAGAAATAAACAATGAAAAATAAAACTTCAAAATATTAGCATGACACCATATCAGTCAGTCAGGGCTACCATATTTATTAACAACTGATTTATAAAAATGCTTTATATAGTATTCATCAATACAGAAAATGTTACAGACAAAAATCATCACTCAATAACATAAGTATTTCATGTCAAATGCATTGCTTTAAAACCGATAAACCCTTTCTAGATGTTATACATTATGTGTGAAACAACATTTTGGAGGGAGGCTGTGTCCATCTGTTGGTTTTCTGTTCAAGTTTCACATTCACAATAACTTGGACTGGAATCAAAATGTTTGAAAACACAAAGTAAATGTTTATGTCACTATAACACAAATGTGCAATAAGGAAATTAATCACAGAAATAAAGATGGCTATAACTTGCATAAATTCTGTCTTTTTTATGTGCGACCAAATGTAACCAATTTGATTATTTAGACATGCTGTTTCAAGTACTAAGAACATGTAGCTATAGAAAGGTTGAGGACATTAGGAGGAACTGGAAAATACACAGTCTAAACGTAAATTAGATTACCATCTAAACTGCAAAATAAAAAGTAAACTGTATGCTGTAGTTCAGATTTGCATGTCACTACAATGTGGTGAGCAGTTATGTTAGATGATAAGAATAGTTTGGTTGGGACTAGTACAAGTAAATAAAACTAGTTTTGGGTCTACAAAATGTAAATAACGCTTAGATTCATTTGCAGGTATAGGATTATATGCCCATTTATAGTTTCAAGTCTCTGCCCTCACTTAAAATTTAGTATACGGTCATAAAATGTCTCTCACCTAAATGCCCTTATTGTCTGCCGAAGATTCCATACCATGATGCTTGAATCAAGGCTACTAGAGGCCAGTTGTTTCATAGCTGGATTGAATGCAAGGGCTGTTACAGTGTCTCGATGCCCTCGGAAATGGCGTTCTAATGTTGGATCGTCGCCTGACATATTTCTATTAACATAAACATACAAATCTGATCGAAAACAGACTTAATACACAAAATATCTTAATATTCATGAAATGTCAAAACTTGCATCTTGTCATTGACCAAATATATCAACGCTATTATCTTGTGCAAACTAAAGCATCTACTAATACGTACCAAGTAACTAAAGTTTTCTTAACTTACTATGCATAAAATGGATGTGTTCTTTGTTTATAACACGGATTAAAGTATATTATTTTCAATTCTGTTGAATCCACCGCCGTTAACGGTCTTCAGTTCGTAGCACTAGTCATACGAGTAATACTATTGGTACGAGTTATCATGCTTCAGGCTATGCAACTGTTGAAGATTTATATGTGATGAATTTGATTGCCAACTGTGCAGTATATAAGGAAATATTTTTGAATAATAGCTTCAAACGGTGTGTAGTTGTCAATGAATATGTTTTTTAAAAAATTATAATATGGATCGCTTTGAGCATGCAGAAAGTCGTTTGAGTTCTGGTGAAAGCTTTGTTATTCGCGAAAAAGGTGTAAAACTATATGATGGAGATGAAAAGGTTAGTTTTCGAATGAAGAGTATTATAGATGGGTTTAGATGTTTCGGAGGAATCTTCTGTGTCAGTTTTCAGGGTGGTTAGTGGAAGCAGCAGGTACCTCTAGACTACTAGACGACATGTGTCGTAACCCAGAACATCATAATCAAATGAATATATAATTATGCTAAACAATGCTTAATTTTATTTCTTTTGCTTGGTAAATTTGTTTTCTCCCGCAACATTACATTACAGGGTGGTCTTTGGTCTTTCTGGTTGGGTTTTGGTTTTGTTAGATATGTTTGTCATATTATTAAACCAGTCTCTGGTCTTATGCCAGTTTATTTGGTTACGTGAAATTAGGTGAACTTTGTTGAAAGGAACCTTTGTCATAATTTGCACCTTACTGATTCTTGAGTAAACTATGGCACTGTTAAAGTAATGAACGGATATACACTGTTGGCAGCATAAATGCTCAGATCCCATGATATAAATGCTATTTGAATCATAAACCTTTAACTGCCTGATGAAACCAAGTGTGTTAAAATTTAAGATTGTCTATGAGAATGGATCATATTATATTTACCTTCAATGAAAGAAATTCAATGGTAACGAGTGAGAGTTTCTGTTTTTGTCTACTTTTCAATCTAATGTGCTAGTATCATGTTCACGTTATTTCGTATTTTGTTTTAACATGCAGAGTGGCCACAAAGTCCATTTGCAATAAAATCACAGCACATCTATATGTTTCCCTCCATTCCTTGAACATTATTTGATCTAAGGAGATACCAGAGGGTTCTGACAATGGTGTATAACACTCGGAATAACTGGGTTTTTGGACTTTGTCTATCTCTCAGTGTTAAAAAAGAACTAGAGAACATCACATTTCAGAAACTGGGTTTATTAGCTTCTTCAGGTGAGGGGGGAGACACTGTCGGGTCCCTTAGATGGAGCTAACCTCAATCACTGAACAACCTATGTCAATATAACTGCAGCTATTTAAATACCTTAGAGTAGGCTTTTTCAGTGGGAGATACCAGGAAAATGTACAATAAAAACTGATGAAGCAGGCACAGACCTGAAACTAAGACAGAATTTCTACCTAATTTCCAGCAAATAAGTGTCTACAGCATGAAGCTGACCATTTATGTATGTCTTAGTGCCAAGGTTAAGAGTGTGTGGAACTCTTACTGCAGATACCCTATATGCATTGATGGCATGGTAGTTAGGCACATAGACAGTTTTACCCTTTACCTTTTTGCCATTTTACCTTTGTTTTCAAATGCCTACAGTTTATTTTTTCCTCTGAGGTTAATGCTAAATCAACTATACTGCATTGGTTAAACTGGATTTGTGAAATTATGTTTAACTTTTCAGACACCGTTTGAAGGTGGAGAAGTTGTGTTGACATCCCATCGCTTACTTTGGGGTCGACCAGGTGACATTCCAAGAGGACTCACATGCCTTTCTTTACCTCTTCGTTATGTTGTGTTTGTAGAAGAAGAAATAGGAAGCAGTTCATTTGGTTTTAGTCGAAGCAAGAAAATTGTACTTCATCTTTCAGAAGCATTACTAGGTGAACTGAATCAGATACTTTGGTTAAAAAATATGAAAGATTTTGTGATTGATTTTTTAGTTATTTGGCATTGTTTCAAGTGTGAAGGGTTATATGACATTGAATGTTAGGAGATTATGATTGGTGAATTGGAAGAAGATGCAGAAGGAAACATCCTTGGCCTGTTTTAAGATTTCATTCCAGAGTTTGCCTTAAGGAACTGAGATAAACCTTGAAGAATCTCAGTCTACGTAAGCAATTTCTGTGCTTGAAATTCGAACCCAGGATTTCCTGACTATGAATTGACATTTATTAAAATATGAAGTTCTGTGATAAAAGATGTTGTCAGGGCATATTTTATGGTACCTAAGAAGATAAATTGCATGTATTTTCAAGACTAACATAATTTCCGTTTATTATTAAATGGACTGAATTTTATTATGATGCAGGTAGTAGGCTTTTAAGCTTCTTGTAACCATTAGATTGGAAAACTGGTTGGAAAAGTGAAATGATGTTGGAGGATGAACAGAAAATTAATATTTTCATGGAGATCAGCGATAAATGATACAAACTCCGTCCTAAGTGCAAACAATATATATTTATATGTCTTTGATCTTGTTCTTTCTACACTACATGTTTCGGCCTCTATCGGCCATCATCAGGTGTATACTCTTAACGTCGCTGCCACACTGAACCCAGTCTAAAACTTAACATTTAAAAACACAATGTCACATTCTTCGTATTATCAACATCTACATCGTTGATATGTGTCTGGTATGTAGATTATGTTTCACACGTCGCACCCGATATTCTTGTAGTAGCACTCTAAAAATCTTTAGTTATGATGTTTTTAAAACCTTTTAAAATTTTCTACAAATTTTAAATTTAAAATTTAAAATTCTTAGGGTTACTCGCCCTATGTCTACGTGCTGGAGCGGCTAGTTCTTGTTTTCACACTGTATAGGTGTTATTTAATGTAGTCTTCTTGTGTGAGTGCCGCTGCTTGTCTGTACTACGTGTACAGCACACGTAGTACAGACAAGCAGAAATGTTTGATGGCTGACCAGATGCATTATCCTAAACAACAAGAATTTGAAAGATATCTCCTTCTCATGGCAGTCTTATAGTGAACATTATACAGCCTTCTTGTTCACCCTCCGAACACTATGAAGTCTTGTCTTTCTGTATCCCTTCATGCCTATCCCTACTACTAGCAAACTAGCCTTGTGCGTGCTCACTGTATAGCTTTGGCACAGACTGCGTAGAAAATACCACACGAAACAAGTCCTCTTCTATTATGTGCATATCCGTTACACAGAAACATGTTTTCCCAGCTGTTACCTCGCAACATACCATATGATTATGTAATAGTATTCCTTGTCAGTGATTTCAATGGAGCTCTTCCTCATCCAACATAATTAATTTTAACTCTCAATCCAAATCTCATTCATACAGTTGCAGTCTTTTTGCCCATAAAACAAGTACTTTGGTGGAGAAAGGTTGGAAAAATGATAATATTTTCCTGTGTCATGAGTAAAACTAATTGAATTGAGGAATGTAACTATTTGATGAACTATAATCACAATCAGAATTTCTCATTTCAGGCAAAATTCCTGGGCCTGTAAACAGGAGTAGTCACAATTATTTGAAGCTTTCTTTTAAGGAGGGACTACAGAATAATTTTCTACAGATAATTAATGAAACAATTCAGAACAAGAAATGGGAGAGCTTCTCAACTTCAGCACGTCCATCACAGGTAGATCAAGAGTGGAAAAATTTAATCTGTAATGGGGCAGATACAGCTGACAGAGAAGTTTTTGCCACACTTTCAGAATTAGTATGCTTAACATTCACTCCTTTAGGAAGAAAAGGCCATTTGTCATCATATAATTCTTGCAAACAGAAGAAGAAAACAGTTGCTGTGGCTGTTAGTATTAATACCATAGTTACTGGAATACCAGATGCTCTTGTTCTCAAAATTTTAATTCACAGGAAAGAAACCTGTTTATTCTATAGTTTTACAACATATTCCCCAGACATTATTCATATATTCATTATATTTTAACTATGACAACAATTAAGTTTCAGATTTGTTACAGGTGGTAGCTGATAGCGCCTTATTGTTATAGATAATGGTTTTTGTTTCATGTTGTATATTATTAAATTTAACTGGTATGACATTACACAGCTGTGTTGCAGTATATGATTTACTCATGTTGACTATTTCTATATCCATTGGTGTTAAACCATGTAAGGATTTATGGAATGCTGAATAAATGAAATGAAATGAAATATATACAAGGCCTATTCAGAAAGTAACCTCAAGTGAGCTGTTAATAAAACAAAGAACAAGGAAAAGAAAATTATTATATACAAAAAATAGGTACATGTTTAAGCTACTTCTTGGGGGAGGGCTGTCAAAAACTTGTATATTGGATGTATAAACTTTTCTCTTTCATCGAAGTTGAGGATTGTAGGAAAAATGTAAATATAAGAAATGTTACCTAACAATTAGAATTCTGCACTTTTGGACAATTCAAAATTGGTGTTACAAGAATTAAGGATACTTTTTGAGACAAATATTATATTGAAGATTCTCAGACAAATCTGTGTGAATAATGAAAATGTATTCGACTGTTTATGCATAGGAAGCTACCAAATATGAGACCACAGATCATGTCGAGTCGGATTTAAAAAACTTTAAAATTTCTCTGAGTAGAAGGAAATGACTGCAATCATGAAGAGTTTGAAGATTATAAAATTATTCTTTGGTCCATCATATTTGTCATTCAGTGTTAATTTGCCCTAATCCTTTTATAATTTCCTTTTATTATTATGTAGATTATGAAAATTCTAAGAAATAAAGAACAATTTTCAGTGCTAATTTTTGTTTGCCTTATTCCAGTATGGTCCAAAAGTAAACTAAGAACCCATTGTCACAAACTTAGTGCAAGTCAGAGCTATAAATAATAGACTGTGGTTCCCCTTACAGTGAAATCTATTCACTGATAGACCAAGTCATTAAGGTTTTTATGTTCCTTGACCAGAAACTATCTGTGATGTGGACAGTAACACTACCCATTCAAAAAAAATATGCTTTGTGCTACTGGTAGTGTGAACATTCATCCTGGTGAAATATTCTGTTGTGTTCATAATTATAAGTTATTTCGTGTTTTGGATGCTAAATTAAGTTAGAAACTCATCTTATGTTCCAATGAATATGATATTTACATGTCACAAAATTAGTCCTGTTAAGAAAATCAATAAGTTTGATTTGATCTTCATGCGAAATTGGGATTGTTATGAGCTGATGTGGACAAAGAAGGAGTTGTTCAGCATAGATGCCATGTACCAAATTTGATTGAAACTGTTACTGTAGATCCAGAGATGAAACATGCAGATTTCCAGACAGATATGTTGTGTGTTCCCCATTTGCTTTTATTTTATGCTCTTTGTGCAAAGAATGCGTAATGTGGGGAAAACTTGGTCTTGAAAAATGTTTGTGATGGACCTTCTGTTATTTACAGCTTTCAGAGGAACTAAGGAAGCCATCCTTGGTATGGTTTATGATACTGGAGCTCAGTATTGTCATACTCCCATCAAATTTGGTCCTATTGGGTTTTCATAATTTTAATGCATGCTGTGGAATTTATGATGTTTCATCACAACTGTGAAATGTACTTGATTTTTTTCAGCCACCAAGTATGAAATTACGAACTGGTATAGTTGGCATTGAACGAGGGATTCAGGAGAAGCAGAAGGCAACAGACGAAAGTATATCAAGAGCTTTCCAAGATCTTAGTAAACTTATGGATATGGCCAAAGATATGGTCCACCTTTCCAAGAATATTTCACAGAAGATTAGAGTAAGTTAGGTAAAGTAAAAAGTAAAGTTATCCCTGTAATGGGCCATGAAGGCCCAAGGGTTATGAGACATTGAGGGTCCCACATTATCTAGACAATCGGCTTAAAGATGGCGGTAAGGTTCTTGTATTTTTTTTTTTCTTCAGATAATATATTCATTTTATTTATTATATATGTTTAATGGTCTATAAGTTTATATACAAGATAAAAACAGAGATTTCTTGAGAGAGGCTTCCATGACTTGTGGAGACAAAAACCCACCTCTCTGTTTGTATTGTTGGGATGGAGCTCAATCTCAGTGGCCCTCCTAATGATGCAATCCGTGTATCAGGTCTTAGTGGTGAGGATGAGGTATTGTGAAATTGAATGTGGTCTCCCAAGTCAGTGCTGTAGTGAGCCACATCTGACTTGTCTGGATGTTCGAGATGGATGCGCTGCTAATGCTCCTTTAACCTTGTGTCCACAGAACAGCCTGTCTGCCCAGTATGGACCTTTCCACACTCACAGGGAATTCTGTATACACCCAATGTCCTTAGTCCCAGGTTATCTTTGGCCAATCAGAGGAAACCTTGTGTCCACAGAACAGCCTGTCTGCCCAATGTAGACCTTCCCACACTCACAGAGAATTCTGCATACACCTGGTGTCCTTAGTCCCAGGTTATCTTTGACCAACCAGAGGAAACCTTGTGTCCACAGAACAGCCTGTCTGCCCAATGTAGACCTTCCCACACTCACAGAGAATTCTGCATACACCTGGTGTCCTTAGTCCCAGGTTATCTTTGACCAACCAGAGGAAACTACATACTTTCTAGGGAGGTAGACGCACTGATTTGATGTGCCAGGACAGCACTCTGCTGATTCTGTTGAATATAGTCCCAACTTAGGGCAGAAGGTGACTGAGTCTGGAGTCTGGAACTTTGGGTTCCATAAAAGCAGAAAATTACTCGAAGACTGTAAAATTAATTCATACTACTGTACTGAACACATCTTTAAATCTTTTTCAATTCATAGTTTTGGACACATCTTCCATTCAGTTTTGGTTCATAGTGTTGAGCACATTGTGAAGTCTATTTCAGTTCATACTGTTGAGCACATCTTCTGGTCTATTTCAGTTCATACTGTTGAACACATCTTCTGGTCTATTTCAGTTCATACTGTTGAACACATCTTCTGGTCTATTTCAGTTCATACTGTTGAGCACATTTTTAAATTTGTTTCAGGAAAGGCAAGGTGATATAACAGAGGACGAGACAGTGAGATTCAAGTCCTATTTATTGAGTCTTGGAATTGATGATCCAGTAACAAGGAACGACTTTCGCAGTGAGAGCCAGTATTACAAAGAACTTGCAAGACAGCTGGCTGATATGTTACAACAGCCAATTATGGTAATGACAGAATAAGAAAGGAGCATAGAAACTAAACCCTACTAATGGCAGTATTCACATTTCTGAAATTGCAGATGATATATATCTTTTCTCAGAAGATATTCCAAGTACTGTGAAACCTCACTAATTTGGAATTCATGATAATTTGGGCAACTATTTTTTTCAGAAGTGAAAAAAACTTGGACCCTATCATCGGTTTTGTGGACTCTGATCCACAATACAACAAATATTACTTAATGTTGAGGGAAATGGGGCAAGATGTAATAGAATAACAGTACAAAAGAGGAACACAAACCAAAATAATCTATTGTTTTGAACATGGTCTCAGTAATACTAAGTATGTATGAGGAAGAGTCATTAAATAGGTCACATGTATATAAAATGTAAAGGATGTGATATTTGGACGTTGAAAAACATTTGTTACTCAATATATCCTCCATCGACACTGATAACTGTGTCCCATTGCTTTACGAGTGTGTCAAAACCTGCAGCATAAAAGTCTTTTGACTGTTGTCCCAGCCACTTCAGCACCTGGTTGGGCATCATCTGCAACTTTTTAATGTTCTTGAGGGAATTTCTCAATCCGTCTGTGAACTGTTTTACATGACAAACACTTCCAACAACAAATAGGAAACATTTCTTTATGATTATCATTTGCATGGAGTCCTTTTGCCCACAGTAATGAGCAACAGAATGCTGTTCTTCTGTAATATATTTCTCAAGCATGGTCGCCATTTTGACTTCTGAAACCAGCCTCTGAATATGCGCATGGGCATCTGCTACCTAGACTGTCATGAAGCTGGACTGTACTGCTACCTAGTGATACATATAGAAAACCTATTAGGTCCATTACAGCTGTTTTACTTCCATTTGTGACCTGTTTACTGATTCTCTCTCATAGAATACCTAAAATGTTTTTTAAGACTGATGTAAATACTTACATTTTTACATTTTGTGACAAGTACATTTATTTTAGACTGCCTCTGTGGTCTAGTGGTCAGCGTTTCTGGCTACAGATCCAGAGGTCTGGGTTTGATTCCCGGCGCTACCAGATTTTTTCTGAGAAGTAGTGTGTCTGGAACGGGGTCCACTCAGCCTCGTGATGATAATTGAGGATCTATTTCAAAGAAATAGTGACTCCGGTCGAGAAAACCGAAATTAACGGCCATGGGGATCTGTTGCACTGACCACACAACACCCTCTATTCACTAAAGTTGGCACTAACTTCACCAACAAGCGGTGGTCGCTCGGTATAGTTCGCTTGCGGACTAAAATCACGGAGTTTGTTGTTTATTTGTACATTTATTTTATGATATACAGTCTCAGTTTCAAAATAAAATTTTATTGCCTGAAAAAACACATGAAGTCCATTTTATAACTTTTCTGATCATATTTTCAGTAGCACTTCTATCATTTGTTCTTTCACCAATTTGGACCACGGTTTGCTCTCAATCCAAATTAGTGAGGTCTTCTTGTATTCAGCTAATATAAAATCAACAATTTTACTTTCTGAATAGTGTTAGCTGCTGAAAATGTACTACCCCTTAGCATTTTTTTTCCATAGAGTGAAAACGAATACTCAGCTGGCAACATAATTGATATGTATACTTTTAGAGTAGAGTTATTGCTGAAAAATTTAGATTATAGTTTTCTGGATACCAGTGTTTTGGAGGAAAATGCTGCGTCTGTCTTCACAATTGAAGTGTGTAGGGTGTGGAATCTGTTAACGATATATGGACAAGTTGCAGTGAAAGTGGTCACAACAGGAGATGGAGAGGAGATGGGGCATGGTCCAAGGCAATAGGAACAGTGAACAGCAAAACTAACGCATGATTCCCAAAATGCTGATAAAGTTGAACATTTTATGTGTCATTAAGTCCAATTTTGGATTATTTTGTTGAGTTTTTAGTGTAGTTTCCTCAGAGTTGGACAGAGCCCAACAGAAGAACTGAAATTTTAAAATATTGGACCAAGTATAATTTTCATAATAAAGAGAACTATAACCTTGTAAGAAAAATTATTTCTGAATTTTATATGCATGTTTAAGATTTTTTATTTCTTGTCTTAAAATGGTTGAATGTTGTGACTGATTAACACTGCTATTTCATATTAAGGAAATTCTGCATTCAAATATTCACCCAGAGACAGACAAAAAGTGATTCTTTTTTTCATGGTTTTCATCAGAGATCCTAGGATAATAATTAAAATGGGTTAAAAAGGCATTTAAAACAAGAACCATTTGAAGAAAGCAGTCTTCTGGGATTTGGCACCGTGTATATGTGGTGTTAACTGACGTTTCGGAGGAACGTATCGCCCCCATCTTCAGGGTTGAAGAAGTATAGGTAAATCTGCAAGCGACAACACCGTGAGACACGGTCAAGCAGACTAAAGAACATACCGTTGAGCAGAGAGGGAAGGGGATGAACTGCAAGTAAACAAGTGAAAGCAGTGGTGTGGGAGGGGTGGGGGAAGGGAGCCGGGACAAGCGTGATTTTGTGTAGGGGAGAGTGTAGCAAGGTTAAATGGCTGGGCTTTAACTGTGAGCTGAGGGTGGGGGGTNAACACAGCATCGAACTGGGACACCGCATTCAGCTTCAGAATACCTCCATCCTCGCCACCAAGACGCACTATATGGATCGCATCATTAGGGAAGCCATTGAGATCGAACTGCATCCAGGGAATATGAACAGAGAGGATGGGTTTCGTCTCAGCAAGTCTTGGAAACCCCTTATCTGTTCTCTTAAAAACCACCCACCGGGATATGACGCCAGATCCAGGAAGCCACAAGGCCATGACCAACCAACATAACAACCCCCCACCCTCAGCTCACAGTTAAAGCCCAGCCATTTAACCTTGCTACACTCTCCCCTACACAAAATCACGCTTGTCCCGGCTCCCTTCCCCCACCCCTCCCACACCACTGCTTTCACTTGTTTACTTGCAGTTCATCCCCTTCCCTCTCTGCTCAACGGTATGTTCTTTAGTCTGCTTGACCGTGTCTCACGGTGTTGTCGCTTGCAGATTTACCTATACTTCTTCAACCCTGAGGATGGGGGCGATACGTTCCTCCGAAACGTCGGTTAACACCACATATACACGGTGCCAAATCCCAGAAGACTGCTTTCTTCATAGTCACCGCCGTGAAAGCCTCAAATCTTACAAGAACCATGTGATCAGTTGATCTGCAAGTGTGGAGTTGATAGAGAAGTACTGGAAAACTAATGATAACTGTAACTAGCAGTTCATGTTTTCACAGCTTGAATCTCTGGCTTGGTTAATAATGTGCAGGAAGTTGGAGGCATGATGGCACTGACTGATGTTTATTGCCGAGTGAATCGTGCTCGGGGTTTGGAACTGTTGTCTCCTGAAGATCTTATTAAGGCTTGTCACATGCTGGAACAGTTGAACCTTCCCATTAGACTGCGACGGTTTGATAGTGGCGTCAATGTCTTGCAGCTTCAGAGTCACAGTGATGCAAATGTTGTCAAGAACACAGCTCTTGCAGTAAGCATCTCACAGCTTATCATTATTCAGTGAAATGTTGTACGCTAGTAGGCCTCAATCCAGCAGCCTCATCTGAGCATGTTAGCTGAAGTGGTGATATGTCTGGCTTGTGCTTTAGATGTAGGTGTAGGTTGAATCTCCGAGAGATACTGGGTTTTCGGACTGGACAGCGATTGAGGCTAGCTCTCTCTAAGGGACCCAACAGAGTAGGTGTCTTCCCTCACCTGAGGACAGAAACAGATCCAGTTTCCGAAACGTGTTTTTTCTTAGTTACAGTCAATTCTCGATTATCCGGGATAATGGTGGGGATGGAAATCACGATTAATCGAAAACCCGGTTAAGACAAATTTTATTAAAATTAGTACTGTAATACTGTACCTTCATAATACTGTAGGCCTGTCTGTATTAAAATTTATTCAACCTCATTTTTATGTCATCTCATGGCCTATTTAATACTTTTTTTACATTACACTGAAGTATGAATTAGTTATTTCAATCACAGTCTTCGACAACATCCAACACTTTTTACGAACATTCACACTTAACACTTAAAAAAATTTAATATTGTCGTTTACTTTTTCACGGCATTTTCCTTTTTCTGTTGAATACTTAACACAACACGCTTCCTTTTACAGACTGACATTTTGCTAACGCACTTGAAGATCAATACAAAGATACTAACTGGGGCGATGTATCTGTCCTTGAAACTTTCCACAAATCCTTGCATTCTTTCACCCCTACCCTAGAACATTGTGTTAGCATAACGGGACCAAAGAATGCAGAGCTCGGTTCACACTAGTGCGAAAATAGTGTTACAACTCGCCATGTGAAACAAAAGTGAATGAATATTAAACAACATATAAGCCTCAAAAAAGCCTCAGTAGCCCCAGTTAAGCCGCAAACCGGTTAATCTGCCCCCGGATAATCGAGAATTGACTGTATTTAGAATCCGGACAATGGACAAAGTCTGAAAACCCAGTATCTCTGTGTGTTATACACCATCGTCAGAACCCTATAGTATCTAGTTAAATCTCAGGCTGCACACTGTCTTGACTGAGCAAGATCTGGGATAAGAAAAGGCAAAAATATGGGAAAGAAAGCTGTGAGGTTATCAGCCTTACATGCCAGCCACCCGTTACCCCCAGAAATATTCCTGGTACTCATTTCTGTTAGATGCTGAGTCGACCCTGGGGCCATATTGCAGCTGGAAGGATTAGGTCAATTGAAAAAATCCACCTCATTGGGATTTGATCCTGTGACATTCCGGCTTGTAGAATAAAAGAATAAAACATGTAATTTTAGTGGAGTCTAAACTCAACAAAGATTTTCTTTTCTTCTTCTTAACTGTGATTGTGCTCTGGAGGCCATGGCAGACTGTCGAATGTGAAAGTTTGAAAACATCATATTTTTTTGTTTAATTATTTAACAGACTGTAAGACTTCTGGAGAAAGCTATAGGACATAAAATGTATGTTTCAGTTTTTCACAGCTTTTATTCAAAACCTTTTACACTCTTTATGTTTAGTGAGCTGTGGACAGAAACACTTCTAGATATTCATGTAAAGTCTGATCTAAATGAAAATTTAGTGGCTTGGTATTTTTTTTTCTGAATTCTGAAGTATCAGGTTTCGTGAAAATGTGTCCATCAGTTTTCAAGTTGTTCAGTCAATATGAACAATTGGATGGACAGACTAGTGAACTTAATAGGTACTCTCATATGTTTGTAGTTCTCTGTGCTAAAAAGTGGGAGAATGTGTGGATGCGTTCATTGCCTCTAGATAGTTACGTCAGGAACCTTTTCCCAAATTGTAGTACATCTAAATTTCCAAAGGAACAGAATTCCATTGCACCTTATTAGCAAGATGCTTACATTTATTCATCTGTTCTTTGCTTGAAATACAGACATCAGGTATAAATTGATTCCATTTTTGTGAATCTTGGATGAGTATTTAACCACCCGTGATCTCAACACCTTCATATTATAACTTCATTATGAACCTGGTGACTTGTGAGGTGGAAATGACATTAACTATTCATCATAGATGCATAAAGTTTTTTATACTTCAAAATATGCAACTGTATCGAGAAAATATTTTTTAAGGAATGTGGAAAGTAAAGTATAGCATACATGTAAATTATTGCCATGATGGTGACTTATGAAGCATTGGAACTAGCCAAATGACATCAATATGATGACATGTTATAAACATATTTGCTGATAGTATGGGTACTGTGATTCAGAATCATAAAGCACACCAAACCAACACTGAGTAATTTTTAATTTTCTGAAATATATTTTATTTGTACTGTTTTCAGTTGGAAGAACAAGGCTCCCTCACTGCAGAAGAACTGGCTCAGACACTTGGGATGTCTGTTTTATTAGCAAGGGAGCGTTTGATGACAACAGAGAAACATGGACAAGCTTGCAGAGATGAAAGTATTGAAGGCCTTAGATTCTATCCAAATAAATTTCTTCAGAGAGAAGACTAACAGTCTGCTTGTGGTGGCACATTCATAATCATTGTGTACTTATAGGGTTTTTCCAAAATAATGCTCTGTATGTGGGAGGTTATGCTGTCTGTACTGAATTTTGATATAGATTTAAGTACAAGGGAGCTCCTAATGTGTCCAAAATCAACAGATTAGTAACAAATTTGAAATAAATGGGATCATGAATGACAATAGAAAAGTATTGTTAAAATAAGATGGAACATAGAAAAATATTTACAGTAGTATTGACACAAATTCACAGAAAATCTGTGAGGTGTAACATTTTGGCTTATGAGAACAATCAGCATACAGGATTGCTCGAAGAAATGTGAAATTGTCTCCATACAAAATTCAGAATATAGCAGTCTGTTAGTAAGGGCAGTAATACAAAAGTTTGATTTTTATGGTCATTTTAACACTTTCTGGAGCAAAAACCTGCAGTCCTACAAAGCTTATGATTTAGAGATGAGGTGTTTTCATCTGAATGGCTATGTTAATAAGTAGAATATGTGTGCCACAGAAAATCCATATACAGTAATGGATACACCATTTACTTCAAGATACTGTGAATGCTGACAGTTACCTCCATATCTTCAAATAACAGTTTCTCCTTCTGCAAGGATACTGTTCTTCAGCAGGACAAGGGTCAGTGCAAATAGAAAATGCAGTGCTGGTTTTTCTCAGTAAGCAGAACTTAATTGATTTCTTGCATATTTCAGTTATGGCTGTTCCTGGTCAACATACCCTGTAGATGTAAACTCATGTAATTTCTTCTTATGGTGGTTCCTTACCGCGTTGCTTTTTTCATTGTAGTAGAACATAGTAAAATTGAAATGAACATACCCCTTCTGACATAGTAAAATGTAGTAAAAACTCATTTGGAATTTAAATACCAAAAAAGTTGAGTTGATGGTACCACACATGTTAAATTTAATGGCCATAGGATTAAGGGTACCACACATTTCAAGAAACTAAGCAATAAATTTTGGCAGCTGTGATGTGTGTTAATGAACACACACACCGATCAGAGTGGTACAGAATTGTCAAAGGTGACTACAGGTGATTTTGGATGGTTACAGTCCATGTACTGAAAATGTAATGTTATAATTTAGCGTCCTGTTGCACTGATTCACATCCATGATGTGTGTTTGTACCAACCATCTTACAATGCACACAATTTCACCTTTCTCTTCACTACATGTTCCGGCACTAATGTGCCATCTTCAGGTGTGGTTTCATTTACATCAAACGATTGCACTGTATGCCATCATGTCTCCTTTATAAAATGATTAAAATGTATATATGTCATGTATAATAATAAAGTTTATATATTAAAACTTTTCAAGATTTATCATCTATACGTCACACTTCAAATTTGCAAGTTATGTCAATCCTCTCCTATGGGAGTACTCTTCCTATATTCTTGTGTATATTGTATTACAATACAACACACGCAGTCACAAGGGAAGGACACAACACAGGACACAGTGAGTATTAAACATAAAAAAAAAGAAGAAAAAAAAGCAATACAACACATGCAGTCACAAGGGAAGGACACAACACAGGACACAATATACACTCTGTTTTATTCTCAATGTCAAAGCATACAATGCACCCGCAATGTGTAACTTTTGACAGATGTTCCAGTAGGCATCAATTTACCCATCTGCATACTGGCAAAAATAAATCACTGGATATGCGTAGTTGTAGTATATCCTTGAATAAAAAGGATTTGAATATTAAAGAATCTGGTACTTAGACTGTGTTCACTTCCTTTCCAGGATTGTATCAGCGTCACAACCAGTCACCACCCTCTGAGTAATTGCGAATTACTGCCCAACTCAGAGCAAGTTTATGCATCTCCATAACAAATCTGCACACCTCCAAGCTACTCTCAAAAGATACATCCCCATAGCGTAACATGACTAAAACAAAAAATTCATCATGATCAAACTACAGGTTATGCCAGCATAATTCAACCTATCATATTTTATATTGTACCATTGGTTCCACCTCAGCAATTTTCTACAGCCGCAGGATTGGTACTACTGAAGAAAATATTAATAAATTCATTCCTTGAGAAATATCTAATTGTAAAATTGGTGCGTCTGTGCTTTCCATCCGTTTACATCACGGATTAAATTACATCTAATTCTACGTCATTTGAATTCAGCGCTTCTTGTATGCATGTCACGTGGATATACTTCACTTGGTGGGAACTCAAAATAAGAGTGTCTACACTGAAGATCGTGGTGGAGTGAATGAGTGGACGCTTAGATAAACTTTCAACAACAGAAATAATGACACACCATTTTGATGATTCTGATTATTCAGCTTCTCGGTAAATTGTTCTGTTATATTGAGAGAACTGTTCCCCTGAAACATACTGCACGCTCATACTGCAGGGTATCCAAGCTAATAAACTTCGAGTTGTATATGAATTTTACAGTGAATTCATTAGTTAGGAGGTTATGGAAAACAACGAATACAGAATGTTTGAAATTGTGTTCCTGGGCTTTTAATGAACCAGATTTGCAATCAGAATGATGACTTTCATTATGACACAACAATGTGTGCATTGGCAACATTGTCCGGCTCATAGCTGTCATCCGACGCTGTTTGTGTGGTATAGTAGAGTGGGTGGAAATAGGCCTAATTTGTTATAAATAATAGGTAAACAGTGAAAGTTACATGTTAGTCTTAAATGAAATTCATAGCACAGTAACATATCTTTTCTCCAGATGAATTATATTAATTACAGATAGGAACCAGAAATGCTGAAAACAATTACGGAAATGTTATTGTATGCGTAAACTAAACACTTTAAATATTTTCAGGGCGTGTTTCGTTATATGAGTACTTTTTGCGAAAAAAAGTCGCGTAACAATGGCGTGGCGATTCAAGGCTTCGAAATACAAGAATGCTGCTCCGGTCGTACCAAAGCCAGAAGCTTGCATACGAGACATTTCTGTTGGCTCGTATCAAACGTATGGGAACAACATTGCAGCTTCAGCTGCGTTTATGGCATTTAATGTTGATCATAATGGTATGGAACTCCCATGTCTAGTAAAACTTTTCTGTTATATTTATTTGATATGTAACTTGAGAGAATGAGGTTTAGTTTGACATGCCCTCGTCTTAGTGTAATTCAGATTTAAAGAAGCATGTCATCTTGTGACATACTCCACCATAAATACTCTTATTTGAACTTCAGATGTTACATATGAAACTAAAGTTTGTCTGTCTTGATGTGGCAGCAAGTATGTAAAGTAATATACTTGTTGTTAATGAATGTACTTTTCTTTCAGGCTCCAGTCTTGCTGTACTTCCTATTGATGACTGTGGTCGCAAAAGTAAGACTATGCCGCTTCTTCATGCTCATACAGACACAGTAACAGACATGGACTTCTCTCCTTTCCATGATGGTCTCTTAGCAACAGGATCTCAGGATTGTCTTGTTAGTAATTGCCTTTTGTACATGCCTTGTTTGATAATCTCACAGTAATGAAGTTCACAGCACTACTGAGTGGTTATGTAATTCGTCTTATAAGACTATTGAAGTTGGGCATCAATCTGAGATTATGACTGGAATGCAGACAGCATTTGCATGTATTCTGTAAATTATTATGTTTTATGGTGCCCCAATAATTTGTGCGTGAACAAGGAAATAATTTGAGAGCCTGCTGCATTTTTTCACCTGGTCCAGCAGAATAAAAGAAGTTCCTCATGTCAACTCTTTCTGTGTGCGTTTGGACTCTCAGGGCAATCGACAAGCCTTTAGGCCAGTTCACCAGCCTTTATGCTAAGAACCAAATTGAATTGTTTTGCTCAGTCACAAGTTTTCTTTTAATTTTCTAAATTTTCAGCACTAGCTCTGTTACAGTTGAGAATTGAACCCAGTGTGTTATGAATTTTTCACCGAACATAGTCAGAGTAATGACCTCCAGAAGTTTGGCAGGCATGCCACGTGAAATACTATATAATCTCGGACTGGTGCCCAAAAATTCAGTGTTAGTGTAACCTCACAAATTCCTGTTAATTGTTGTATTGTGTGTGTCGTGTTTCAGGTGAAATTATGGCACATTCCAGACAAGGGCTTGGAAGAAAGTTTATATAATGCAGAGTGTACTTTTTCTCACAAGCAGAGAAGAGTAGAGACTGTTTGTTTTCATCCTACTGCCGATTGCCTTCTTACAACAACTTCATACACAACTTTGACATTGTGGGACATTAGCTCAGAGAAAGAAATGCTCTGTAAGTGTTGCAGAAATATGCAGTCTTGATATGTACCCTTGTCGTTAATGTATTCTGCCTCCTAACATTTTTTAGATGTAATGGTGTTAAGTGTTCTGGGATAGCACAGTCGGTAAAGCAACTGGCTATGGGGTGGACGACTGAGGGTTCATAGCTTGAGTCTCGGTAGGGTCAAGAATTTTCTCTTCTCAATGTCATCCAGACCGACTCTGGGGCCCACCAAGCCTCCTAGCCAATGGGTACCAGGGGTTCTTTCCCGAGGGGTAAAGCGGCTTGGGCATGAATCTGACCACTCACCTCCAGTTAGTGCTGAGGTCAAGAATAACATGGATCTATACATCTACTCCCCCATACACCTTCATGGTGTAGTGCTTCCTTAGTTAAGCATAGGTACAACTGTACCTTTTACATTTAATGATGATAAGTGATATCACTTATGGTGATAAATTCTTATGCCCTTGGTGAGATTTGAGTGAAAGCTATGTAAGTAGAGCCTGAAAACATCATGCTTTCTTGCCCACTGTGCTTGGCTAGATATTTTACTAGGCAAAATATTTGTACTGTTGGTGCAGTTGGTATATGCCATGGATGTTCCCACAGACTCTACTCGTACAAAGCAGAGGCCTTGGGCCGTACCATAGCTCAAGCGGTTAGTCACTGGCTTCCCACCGCAGCAGCCTGGTTCGATCCCGGGTCTGGTCAAGTGGGATTTGTGGTGGATTAAGTGGTGCTGGGGCAGGTTTTCTCCGAGTACTTCAGTTTGCCCTGCCAATCTTCATTTCACCAGTTGCTCCACAATCAGCCTCACCTATCAACTGGGGCTGGTACAATAGGCCAGAAGTGGCCGCAGTACAAGGGACTTAGTCCCACCCCACTAGCAATAAAAAAACTGAGACATTCATACTGTACTCCATAGACACTTGAAGGAAAGTTATAAAAATTATGTAATTTAGAATATGTTGGTAATTTAATGAAAGACCTCAGTTTGACGGTCATTTATTTTTGTTATTTATTTTATTGCAGCCAATGCAGAGCATAGTGATGTAATTCAGTCCTTAAGCTGGAAGAAGGATGGAACATTACTGGCGACTTCATGTAAAGACAAGCAGGTTCGGATATTGGACCCACGCTTACCAGCAAACAGTTTTACGCACATGGCTAACAGCCATCAGAGTATCAAGGATTCGCGAGTAGTATGGTTGGGAGACACTGGCAAGATTCTTACCACCGGTTTCGATTCTGTAAGCATAGACCTTATTTTGAATCATCTTTTCTCTGTATGATTTCCACACACAACATACAGTTTCCTAAATCCTAATTAACTTCATGAGCCTTTCTTGGGAAGCTGATAATTACATAGCAGCTTATGAAATTCCGCACTCTTTATAGAACCCAAAATTGTATTAGTATTCACTGATGCCTATCCTGGGCTAAACAAATTGAGTGTGTACCCTACTATCCTACTTCTTTAAGATCTATTTTAACATTTATTGTCTGGGAATTAGGGATTTAACTCTCCCAGTAGTATGGTGCTGGAGTCTGGTTTTGCTGGTAAGGGGATTTATATTGTAAACAGTTTGATGCTAAGCCTGCATGGATCTGCTGGAAGGTGTGTAACGCACAGATGATGAAGGTTAATATTATTCTTTTCTCTTATGTCTGTATCTCTTGTCTGTTGTTTCCATATTTTCTGACCATAATGTTGTATGCCTTTCACATGTCTCCCATTCCTAGTATATATCCTGCCCATCTCATCCTTTATTTGATCATCCTCATAATATATGGTGAAGAGTAGAAATTATGAAGCTTCATGGAGCTTTCTCTGGCCTCCTGTAACTTCCTCTGTTTTAGGTCCAAATATTTTTCCCTGAAACCCGTTCAAATAACATTAATGTATATAGCCTTCCTTTAAGATGAAAGACTAGATTTTACACCTATACAACATGACAGGAAAAATTTTCAATTTTACTTCAAACCTGTATGCTGGTAAATGCTATTATTTTTTTGAAATGTAATATTGGGGGGTGGGGTAGTTACAGGGATGGCTTTACCTTTTAATCTGAAATACCACCTGTGCTATATATTGGAAGTGGTAAAACTCCAAGAAGAGATATTACAGTGAAGCTGATGTGGGGAATGATGAAGACAGTTTGTTTATTTATTTATTTATTTCATCTCTATAGATCATTGTTACATGATATAGGACAAGTCAGTTACTGTACATTGGCTGATTACAATAAGAGAATAAAGTTACCACCATTATCATCATCAGTAATCTGTCAACACGACAGGTCCACAGTCTCTTCCAAAACAGTTCCTCCACTTGATGCGATCTAGAGCTTTCTCTTTCAAATGAAAATATCCTCTTCTGTCCCCAGGGTCATCCAGAATCTTCTTACGTCTTCTTCCTCGTCTTCTGGTCACTTTTATCCGCCCCTCTATCTTTCCTTCAATAACTTCTTTTAGAAGGCAGTTACCACGTAAGATATGACCAATCCAATTAGCCTTCTGTTTTCGTATTTCGTGTAGGATATTCCTCTGCTTACTGACTCTAAATAACACTTCTTCATTTCTCACATAATCGGTCCAACTGATCTTCTCCATCCTTCTCCAACACCACATTTCGAAGAATAAAGTTACAATACTTAAAATTGTTTACAATAGATTACAATAGTTAAGATTTCATATAGTGTACGTCGGCTTCCATATGGCCTGTTGTACCTGTACTGGTGATAATGCTTATGGAGAATTTGATGGAATGAGGATTAAAAAAAGAATTGCATTTTATGTGTGGATATTTTTTGTTCAGGGGCTCCTACTAGATTTGAAGTTGTCTTCCATTCAGGGGAACAAGGTATTCATTGTGTACAGTCTCTTTCTACTTACCAAGAATAAATTATAGGTAAAAAGTTGCAAATTATCTTTGTGTTTTAGGGTCGGCAGAGGGAAGTGTTTATTAGAGATCTCAGGAACTTTGAAGATTGTGAGAAGGCATTAGTTTTGGACAGTTCTACAGGGTAAGTGCACCCCTGATTTATTATTAAATGGGTATGGATGAATGTTACTCTACAAATCAGATTTTATGTAAACTGAATGTCTGGAGAGTATCAAGTTCCAGGTTAAATTAAAGACAAATTTATGATTAGAAACATATTGTGACATGATGGCTGATGGAGACAACCATTGCTTTGTAAGGGCTCAATAAATAAGTTTCCACAACAGCAAAGGAACTATTGGAAATGTCATTTGCTGCTCGGTCTGATCTGATGCTATATAGCAAGTTTCCGTTGGCAGTTGTAGTCAGTATAGTTGGTAGCCAGTGAGAGCTAAGGAAGGTCATTTATAGCCAGTGACAGCTAGTAATGCCACAAATTAGTTGATAGTCGACATTTTTAGCAGTGAGTTAGCTGTGAGACAGCTGCCATCTGGTAAGGACATGAAAATGGAAGCTGAGGAATCCACACTGTTGGGAGCCATAACCTAGCAATGGCTAGTGAAGACAAACTGAGTAGTCTTAGTGTGTGCTGCAGTGAGAAGTCAAGTGTTTCAATTAGTGAGAGCACTATAGTTACTTGTAGTTATGATTTGTAAGAGTTCAGTAAACCCAGTTACAATTCCAAACCCTGTGTCTTAACATGTGACAACAATTTTATATGGATGGGAAGTAAAAGTGGCCAGTTTGTCTGTGGACTAAGAGCATTAAGTGCTAGTAGAAAACTTGTACAAAGTAGTGGTAGAATCCCAACAGTTTGCCTCCCCTCCCTGCTTTTCCCATCCACCTTATTTAGGAATTTTATATAACAGAGCTATTGTTTTGACTTCACAGGCTGAATGATTAGTTCTTTTAGTTCTGTGGCTTTAGCACTTCTGTTTCAGTGTGGGGCTCCTAGCAGCATGGAGCATTGGAGAGCCAGGGGGCACAACATTTTCGGAGGTTCTAATTGAGTGCCAGGTCATACAGTTTCTCTTGGGTTCAGAGATGCCATTTTAATATCTTCTTTTCAGCAACAAACCTGTTTTATGAAAGTTTTCCACTAATGTTGTTTTACAGCAGTTTAAAACTGTAATATTTTTGGTAGTTTTATTCACCACCAATGCTCATAAAATATATATATATATATATATACATGCTCATTGCAATACCACACTCATACCTGCTTGAATAGCTCCAAATAATTTTTGAATATCACCTGCAAAGCTGTAATCTCTGATAACTCTTAGATCTTTGGCTCTGGGAAGTGCAAGTAATGTCTAGTCAAGAGCTGTATCACCAAATAATCATGGGGGCAAATTTGTTAGAGTGAAATGTCAGTAATGAAATTGTATGCGTCACAAAATTTTATTTGTTATACAGAAACAAACAAACTCTGTGGCTTGAGCCCGCAAGTGAACTATACTGACTGAGCAACCACCACATGTCAGCGAAGTTAGTGCAAACTTTAGCAGATAGAGGGTGTCGCATGGTCAGCACACGAATCCCTACAGCCGCTAATCTCAGTTTTCTATTCCAGAGCCACAATTTTCCTGAAATTTTCCTCAGTTATCCTCATGACGCTGAGTGAACCCCGTTCCAGACCCACTACTTCTCAGAAAATCTTTTAGTGCCGGGAATTGAACCTGAACCTCTGGATCTGTAGCCAGAGAGGCGGTCTTTTATTTGTTATAACAAAATTTTATTACATTAAAATACATTAAAAATGTCATTATGACAGGTACATGTAAAGAAAGAAAATGAAAAGAGACCCGCTTACCATGATTACTTCATAAAAGAGTCTGTAATATTTGTTCTGCACGTCCAGTTTTAATAGTGATTTAACAGTAAATTGTTGCTAACTTGTAAAGCAATGCTGCTTCATAGGCGTTGCACATGTCATACATAGGGAAATGTTTAATTGTAACCTTATTGCTAAATCTTTTGCTGTCTTTTAATCAGGATCCTAATTCCACTGTATGATCCTGACACTGGAATGCTGTTCCTTGCTGGGAAGGGTGACACAACCATTTCATATCTTGAGGTGACAGACCGAGAACCATACCTTCTTGAAGGTATTCGTCATAATGGTGAGCAGACCAAAGGTGCTTGCCTGGTTCCAAAGCGAAGTCTAGCTGTCATGCAAGGGGAGGTGAATAGGTTACTCCAACTGACATCCTCATCAGTCATCCCCATAATGTATCAAGTGCCAAGAAAGGTGAGAAATTAATGTCAGTTAAATTCTTAAAACTGATCATACAGGTGTAGCAGAATATGTAATGGCTTATGATCTTTTAGAAAATAACATATATTTTGCATGATGACTGTGATAATAATTTTTAACATAGAAGAAGTGTTGCATCCAAAATGTGTGGATTCCTTTATAATCTACAAGTAGATGTAGCCTTTTAATTACTTGAAATGTGGTTCCTTGCCTTGTCAGTATTTTATAGTAACAGCAATGTTAAGGAAAAATAACACTTACTCATGTTGAAAAAGAAATGAGGTGTTGAATCACATTCAGAAACTACCCCCTTGCTTGCACATCACTTTAACATGCATATTAGTAAAGAGTGTGGATTAAATTTAGTAGTTTCTTTGGGGGTTTTCTGTTAGGTCTTTAGCAGGAAGGAGGAAACAGAAATGTTTTTTATATATGTATGTATGTATGTATGTATATACATATAATCTGCATTGTTAGTCAAACTGTGTTCTGTGGAATCCTGGGGTTCCATAAGAGAAAATTGTTTAATGGTAGACAAACTCATTTTTGGAATGGCTCTTCTTTCATACCAATGTAGTCACGTTTATAATGCTGTCATATTCCTTTTTCAGTTCACAATGCACTTGTTTGTGGAAACNGTTATATTGATAAGTGGTGATTGATAGTGTAACGGACCAAAATGAATCAATTCACAATATATTTTTTATAATTTTACACCCTGGTCATGTTTTTTGTTTGCCAGTACACAAACTTTATTCTGTAAGATGCAACCAGTTTCACTATATGTTTTGGTCACTAATTGACCATCATCAGGTAGAAATTATGCACAGATTTATACAGATAAGACACTATTAATATGGCAAAGAGTAACAGCTTTGTAAATATGTGTTCTAACTTGAATACATCTTTTAATTGTATAGAAGTATAACTAAAATCGTTAAAAAACTACCAGTTGATGGTAGGTGTATATCATTAGGTTTGAAAATGATCAAAGTGCCATAATGTTTCTATGTCATCAGGGGAAATATAAATTTTATGTAGTGCTTATTAATTGAGCTATTGTATCAGAAGTATAAATCAAAGATGCACATCTGTTCTTATGATGGGAAATTGCAGGATCAGACCTAGTTGTATTATGACTGACTCCAGTGTTTACCTTTTATATATATTGAGGTCAGCTTGCATTTGACTGTTTTGATGTCAGAATGAAATTTTTTGTATATGAATTTGCATGTAACTATTTTATGATGGTCAGTTAGTGACTGAAACTTTTAGTGAGACTTTGTCTACTGGAATAAAGTTTGTGTAATGGTGTAATTTAGTCATCTGTTGACACTATCCTTCTTTATAGCAGCCTCTGTAGTCTAGGGGTAACGTTCCCACCTCATGACTCAAGGTACGCGGGTTCAAACCAGGTGGAGGTCATGAATTTTTAAGGGCGGAAAAATTCAGGGAACAAGTCCTCCGGGAGGGACTTTAAGCCGTGGGTCCCATGTCATAGATTTCATTCATTCATCAGTAATCTGTCAGATGACAGGTCCACAGCCTCTTCCAAAACAGTTTCTCCACTTAATGCGATCTTCTGTTTTTGGAAAGATTTACGGCACATAAAAGATCCTCATGTCTCTAGGAGACCTCTGAGCAA